ATCAGCTCCCCCCCCCCCCCCCTTGCCTCCATTTTGTGAGACAAAGACACAACTGAGACTGGACGGCTTGGAGCCCTACGTTTTCCAGGCTTCCTTTGTCGTCGTGACTGCCGGAAACGTGTTTGGTGCTCCCATTTTTGGCAGCGGAGGTCCGTGGGAGGAAGCCTTTCGAATAGTATTGCTAATTACCAGTACTTCTGTATCCTGTCTTGGGCTGTATGCATTGGGAATCTTTTCTTTTTCCATCATGCACTGCCTTGGCTCGAGAAGGTGAAGGTCATGACGTCTACCAACAGTTTCTTGATGCAACCGCTTCCTATCGGTACAAGGGATACCAAGCCTTCCATTGGTCTCTGATTCTGCTTATCACTGATATCTTTCTTTTTGCTCTGGCGTACTTGCCAGAGCCAGTTCAACCATTTGCTGCGCTTGGGTCATTACCCATCATCTACACCTGTTGGAAGGATTGGCAAGCTATCGTTTCTGCTGCAAGCATGATTTATACACCCAACAAAGATGACTTCGCCGAAGATGCTATCAATGATGCAGAAAGTAGACGGACGAAGTGAAAGGGGAAGGTATCACTGACATTGGACAAAGCCATCGGAGTCCTTTCCATAGAGCACAATGCTCTGAATCATTCGGCTGCTTTGTTCGATCAGCAAATAGGTAGATATGTAGACAAGGGGTCGTTTCGCCTTTATAGCCAACTCTTTTTTATACCAAAAAAATAGAGACGGCAGAAATGGACACGATTCTCATCAATATCGCGCAAACCACCGATAGTTCTGTCCTTTAGATGAACAGGAGCAATAGGAATGGTACCAGTACCTGAATACTCGATCCTTATTGCTTGCTTTTTTTAACAGCAATGAATTCGACTAGTCCGAACCCCAACTCAAAATATTTCCAGTCGCAAAAATGTCGCCCATTGGTAGTCGATCCTCAAATCCAGGGGACATGTGACCACCATCACGAAGACTATATACGCATAGTTTATTATTTTCATCAGCCTCTAGCTTGCTGTCATCCTCCTCCAATGCATTTTGCCTCCTCATGTATTATCCTTCTGCCATTTCTTCCTCCCCAGTCCAATGCGCATTTTCTAAAATAGAATGGACCATTCCGCTATCGCTGTCCAAACCCGAAATCGACCTTTTGCAATCTGCCGACGAAAATCCATTGGAGTACACGATTGCTGAATACAGGGAAGTTTTTCAGTATGCTAGGCTCTTGCTAAAGTTGCTGGATCAAGTCATGGGGCCGACACAACCTGCTATATTATCCAAAGTCGGTTTGGATGCAATTCCTTTTGATGAAGAAAGGGCATTGGAATACCTCGAACATGACAAAACAGGGGTTGTCACCCACTTTGTCATGACCAAGCTATTCGATTTGATTCACATACTCTCTCAAGATCCCACAGACAAAGTCAAGCTAACAACAATATTCTTTGCGAACCAACAATTGATGGACGACTGGAGGCCATTGCTCCAAATACTCTATCGACAGGGAGACGCTTTTGCCCAACGGAATGCTGCCTTATGTATATCCTATTTGTTGCGAGCTGGATCGGAAGAGAATTGGAAGATGGAAAACGATTGGCAGGCTTTGATCAGTTGGTTGACATCTCGATTGCAGTCGTCGCATTATAACATAGACTCGCTCAGTGTGGTGACATCCACACTCTGTGTCTTGGGAGGCTGTCCCTTGGCCCGTGACCTTTTGGATCAACAGGGAGGAATTGGATACATGAGCCGGCATTTGCGCTTATTTTGTCTGCCCAAGGAACAACAAAATCAACGAAAATACAATATACCGAACATTCAGCAAGTCTATGAAATGTGCTTCTGTGTTTGGACCATGTCGTTTGATTTGTTGAATCAAAATCAAAACGATAAAGACGAATCATCATCAACCTCATCGTCCATTCAACAAAGCTTTGTCAGGGGTGGCATCATTTCAGCTTTGTGTCAACTCTTGGCACTGGCGCCTCGCGAGAAGGTTATTCGATTGTGTTTGGCTACCCTCCGAAATTTGATCTTGGTGGATGAATCATTCTACCGAGAAACCTACTTGAACGAAATGGTGGCCTGCCACGCCCAGCAGTGTTTCGAGCAATTGCAAGGTCGGACCAATTGGAACGATTCCGAATGTTTGGAGGATCTGATGACATTGAAGAAAGCCCTCGATCAGCACACGCTGACTTTGACACGATGGAAAGTCTATCAGGCCGAGTTGGAATCCGGACAATTATCGTGGGGCATTCTACACACCGAAGACTTTTTCCGTGAACACATCCGACACATGGAGGGCCCGAAGCAGGATTTTGAACCAGTCAAGAAGTTGCTTTCGTTATTAATGCAGAACATGCATACTGACGATGACGAATCGTTGGCAATTTGCCTATTTGACGTCGGGGAATTCATTTGGCAGTACCCAAATGGGAGAGCCATTGCCAAACGCTTGGGGATTCGGGAAATTGTGCTTCAGCTGCTGGACCATCCATCTACGGGAGTGCAAACGCATGCTTTGCAGTGCATGTCGAAGCTGCTAATTCAGCACAATTGGAGGTCAACGACGAACAGTAGCTGAACAAGGAATATGGGGATGAACGGTACGCTGACGATTTCATACGAAGTACCGTCAGTATTCCTGCCTATTGACGATTGATTGATTAGGGTACAAACGAACAATATAGATTATAGAACTCGCATTATCTGCTTGTCGTCATTTGCCTTCTGTCTCTCCTTGAGATGATTGATTTTCATTCTTGTGGAGGGGTGACCAATGCCACGACAAAACGGGAATCGTTGGGATTTGTTCCTTTGAATTCTGGCGCAGAAACTGTTCACTCTCACTTAGGAGCTGCGCGAAGTGCTGCGTTAATTCTTTGGGTATTTTCACTTGTTTCTGACCGGTAGGCAACGCGGATTTGAATTCGCACAATATCTGCAGAAAAGAACAAAATTTTAAAAATCTGTGTCGAAACAGCTTTGGCATTTCAAAAGGGAACAGGAGCATCAAGCAACTGTCACAACGACGCATAAAAGCGAGAAGTACTGTAGCAACAAAGAATTACCTTGACGACCAGCATGGGGTCAACTCCAGAAACAGCACCTACAAACAAGGCCGTCAACAATGGAAGAAGCATCTCTTCCCAACAAGAACAACAACAAGAACAACAAGAAGTCCTGCGAACGCCCATGCCCTCTGACTTTCAGCACATGAAAGTCCTCATGGCTCGAACCTTTCGCAAAGACACTAAAAGACCCATTCTCTGGTTTGGAAAGTTTCTTTCTCTACCACTCATGTTTATGCTCTACACGGTTGGAATCTTTCTGAGTTATCAAGAGGAAGAAGACGACCTTCAAGTGGGAGAATACAGACTCTTCAATGGAACCACGCTCCGATTTCCATATGCACTCAAGTTGGGAGGAATTGATACCAGCTTTGTAGCGAGCATCGCTTCTGTCTTGACCAAAGAGACCTTTCAGCAACTAAATGTCACCAATATTACTAATGCCGAACTAATGTCGAGCGAATGCGAAGGCATTGGTTGGCCGTCAGTACAAGCCTGTGTCTTTTTCGATTCTCCCAATTCGTACGATATTTTGTATGATGGTGGGCAATCTGCTCAATTTGTGTCTTCGACAGAGCCAGAGTTGGTGGGCACTCAATGGGCCATGAATCAGGCATTGGGTATGCTTTCCAATATTACAAACGCCTTTCCATTCGGCATGGTTCAAAGAACACCCCAATTGGTGACAGCTTCGGAAAATGAACCAGATTTTTTGGTGTTACTTTTGCCATCCTGCATGTTTGTCTTGGCAAGTTTGATCATGTCACAATTTGTGGTGGGTCCCATTTCCTACGAAAAGTTGAATGACGTGACACGATCCTACTTGCTGGTGGGCGTCAAGCTTCGATCTTATCTCTATCAATGGGTTTTGTATCTAGGCTTGAATGGTATCATTACGGCAGCTGTCTGTTCTGTGGTGTCTGTGTACTACAATATCATGCCTCTATCGTCTGGCTATTTCATTTTCATTTCGCATTATCTGGGGTTGCTGAACATTTACAGTGCTTACACGCTGATCATGCAAGCGGTGGCACAAGAAGAGCTGGCACAGGGCATTCCGTGGTTGGTTGGTATTGGATCACTATGTGCCGCCTTGCCCATTGTAATTTTGGACAAGGCTGACAATATTGGTTTGTACATCTTGTCAGTGATATCCCCATACATTGGAATTCTGCAGTACCACTGTCTCTACATTAATTATGATAACTATGGGGTCGGAATTGGTATCACGAATGGAACGACGCTGGTCGAAAGTGGATTGCTCGGAAATATGATTGCGCAAGTGCTGGGTTTGTGTCTCTGGATGACAGCCATATGGGTGTACTCGTCGACCCAATTCCGCAATTGGATGTCGGGAAACACGGAAGCCGTGACAAATGCGTCCAATGGTCGTACTGGCGGGGACGACAATGGTGAAACTGGTGACAATTTTGAACCACTGCCACCAGGTTCCGAAGTCATGTTGTCGGTCCGCGGTTTGGAGCATACCTACTATCCCGGTTGCTGCAAACGAAAGGACAAACCGACTGAGGTTTTGAATGGTCTGGATATGACCATTTGCAAGGGTGAAGTGTATGGATACCTCGGTCATAATGGTGCAGGAAGTGAGTCCATCATAGTCCTACTTTCTTCGTTGTATCATTTTTGTAATTTCAGGCTCTAACGCATTCCATTGAATCTTTCGATTCGTTCCACAGAAACAACATCGGCCGAGATTTTGGGTGCCGAACTTCCATTGCAGCATGGAAATGTCACCTACCGCTTTCGGGATGGTGATAAGAAAGTGGGAAACGGAGAAGATGAAATGATCATTCGTTCGAGAATTGGATTCTGCCCACAGCACAATTCCTCCTTGCCCAAAGACTTGACCTGCCGTGAGACTCTTCGCCTTTTTGCCTATCTCAAAGGTGGTATCTTGACCCAAGAGGGTGAATCAATCGATAAAGCTGTCGAAAATGAAGTTCAACGACGCTTAGATGATGTCAAATTCACGTCACAAGAGGATGCTGACAAGTTGGTCTCCACTTACTCTGGCGGGATGCAACGCAAAGTCCTCATTGCGATGGCCCTTCTTGGTGACCCAGAAGTCGTCTTCTTGGATGGTAAGACGCACTTGACGCGTAGTTTTGCATCATTGCTTTCAATCGCACTCACCGTTTTCTGTTGTTCTTTTGGTGCAGAGCCAACTGCTGGTCTCGATCCATACAACCGACGTACCATTTGGGACATGATCATTGCCGCCAAATCTGGGCGAAGCATCATCCTGACAACCCACTTTCTAGACGAGGCTGACATTCTGTCTGATCGCATTGGGATCATCAAGGATGGAAAGCTATTGACTTGTGGGTCGACCCTCTTTCTAAAGCATCATTTTGGAGTGGGTTACACTCTGTCTTTCGATTGCAAAACGTCGTTTGATGTAACATCAGTCATAGCTGAAGCGGAAGAGCTTCCTCGTGAAAACGAAGGAAGCTACGAGTGGCGCATCAAGCACGGTTCCGAAGAGTTGATCCCAGAGCTATTGTCGCAATTGAATTCTGTTGGGGCAACAGATGTAAACGTTGAATTAAGCACCCTCGAAGAAGTCTTTTTGAAAACAGGATCGGAAGACGAGGAGAAAGATGGTGATGAAGACGAGGATGACAAAAACAGGGAGAAAGATAATGATGATGACATCGAGAGTGGCGAAGACAAACAGGCCTTTCTTCGGAAGGTATGGGCACAAATGGCAACAAAGCGAGAACTAACTTTTGGAAAGAAGTTCCTCCTGGTCCAATCGTTTATGATGTCGAACGCATGGAAAATCAAAGGTACAATTTTCCTCAATGTTGTGCAACCGGTAAGTTTATCCCAAACAGCATACGTTTCGGATTACTGCGTCTCTGTCTGACTCTTTTGTTTTGGCTTTTCCAGCTGATATACGTGATTATCGGTTTCCTGGTTAGCAACATTGGGGATGTGCAAGAAGGCGACATAGTTACCAATCCCCCAGTCGATATCGTTCGTGGTAGCTCAGCATTCTTCTTTGGTCTTCCGACGTTCAATGGATCCAATCCGATAGCACCTTTGGAGCCGATTTCAATTCCGCAGTCACTGGAAGACTATGGCTCAAGCCCGAGTCTCATTGGTGGATACTATAACGAAAATGCTACTTTGCAGTACAACCCAAACGTCGATTCTCTCGCGCTTCAGATTGCAGTCTCAGCTCTTTCGACAGCTTCCGCCGCAATTGCAAACAACGATACGATTGACATTTCTACGACACTACAACAGGTACCTTATTTTCAAAATGAGGCACCATTCCGTATCGATATCATAATCTTGCCACTATTCCTGTCATTTGGATTTGCTGGAATCGCTTTTGTTGTCTTGGATGTTCTCTTGCTGAGAGGTGACAATATCATTGAACTTTTCAGAGTCGCTGGAATCACAGAGTTCTATTCATATCTTGGGGTTGCAAGTTACAAGGTGATTTCAACCTTTATGCCATTCTTCACGCTTGTGATTATTCTTGGTTTAGCACTAGATTCAGTTTTGTTTGGGAGTGGAGGACGATGGCTTGCGACACTGCTTACTATGTTGATGTATGGCTATTCGACTTGTCCGCTTGGCCTAATCTTCGCCAAACGATTCATTCATTCTGATTTCAAGTCTGTCGCCAACTGGTTTCCAGGGTAAGTTTTGCAAAGAATTGTGGTTTTTTGTTTGAACGATTTCTCATGGCATTTGTCACATCAGAGTTTACATGACTATGTTAGCAATTCCTTACTCTGCATGGGCTTCCGCATTGCAAGCTTTACCCGAAGATCTCGACACCATTCTTGCGGTTGGCGATTTCTTGTGTGTTGTTCCCCCTTTTGCTTTCCAGCGGGGAATTGGAGAAGTTCTCCGGGTCTCATCATTGCCTGATGATGGTACTACTTGGGCGGATGTTTGGTCCTTGGAATCTCGAGTATGGCTTCCAATGCTAATCATGTTTGTATCTGGGACCTTGTTCTGGACAGTTTTATATCGACTGACGAGTGGTCGAGAAAGGTTGACAAAGCTGAAGAAGGACGAGCGCAGCGCTATCGAACCGCTTGATGTTAGAGGTGATTCCGATATTATGGAAGAACGGATGCGTGGAATGCAAGATGACAAAGGTATCAATGCGCGTGATCTAGTGAAAGTGTTCAAGATCAAGGCGGAAAAGGGTGCAACATCAAACGAACCAGTTATCAAGCAAGCTGTCAAGGGTGTTAGCTGGGGTATTCGTCAGAATGAAATCTATGCTCTCTTGGGACCAAATGGTAGTGGTAAAACTGTTTCGATGAGTATGCTGGCTGGAAAGTATACTCCCGATCATGGTGACATTGCAGTGGACGGTGCTGTTGCCAAGCTCGAGGACAGAACTGTGCATCATTTGTACGAGAAGTGTGGTGTTGCATATTGTCGTAAGTTTTGGTTACGGAGACAAGAAGAATGGCGATACTAGCACTAACACATCATCAACTGTTATCCAGCCCAATTTGACGCTCTCTTTCCAAAGAAGACTGTTGATGAACATCTCAAGTTTTATGCCGCTATTCGTGGTCTCGACTGGAATGAAGAAGCTGCAAGGGACCACATTGGCGCAATTGTGAGGCTACTTGGCCTGAAGAAACAGCTAAAGAAGGAGTCGACGGCGCTTTCTGGCGGATATAAGCGCCGTCTCTCTCTGGCCATTTCAATGATTGGATACCCAAACGTGCTTATACTCGATGAAATCACGACTGGAGTGGATCCCGGCGCAAGGCGAAAGATTTGGGACGTGCTCAAGCCCCAGTCTTCACACAACGATTTTGATATTCCGGCAACCATACTTAGCTCACACTACATGGACGAATGTCAAGAACTCGGAACAAGAATCGGTATTTTGATTGACGGGAAAATCTCAGCGACTGGCTCACTGAAACGACTCCAGGAACTCTTTTGCACAAGCTATTTTGTTGAGATATCATTGACGCCACATGCGAACGAAGATGCAGAGGACAAGATTATCGAGATTTTTGAAAGCCAGGATATGAGTGCTGAGAGCTACGAATCGCTTCCTTATCGTTTCAAGTTGAGAGTGCCGTTTACTAATGGGGCAGGAAATGACAACACGGAGCAATTGGCGTCAATCTTTGGTCTTTTGGAGAAAAATAAGGAGAAGCAGGGTATCAAGTTTTATTCTGTTGCTCCCATGAACTTGGAACAGATATTTATCGATTTGTCCAGGAAGCAGTACGAAGTCAACGCGAACTTTTCCAGCACGAGGAACCTTTGAGATGTAAAGGGATGCTTCTAGACTATTGGATATATTTTACTACAGTATGATACCGTTCACATGTACCATAACCGCTGACGACATCTGCTTCACAGTATTAAAAAATATAATAAGATATATCTTTCTTTCAAATATTTTTTAAAAAATATATATTATTATATAAAATACATAATAAAAATATATTAAAATATTAAATACAGTACAGGTATTTTAATACCACCAAACTTTATTGCGCGTTTTGATGCACCAAGATCCGCCAGCGTTTTTTGTTGTACTCGAATAGAGTACGAATATCCGGAAGAAGGTCAAGATCTATTCGTGAATATTGCATTTCAAAGTGAAGGCTCTTCATTTGCGTTTTACATGGAATCTTGGGTGTCGCTCCCTGCTGACAATAATCTCATCATGGAGGACGACGACATTGACAAGCGAATCATCGAGTTGGTGGAAAGTCGTTTGGCAGATCAAAAGCAATCGATTCTGGCTGAGATCAAGAAATCGATTGTCCTTGAGCTGAAGGAATCGATCATCTCTGAAGTGAAAACATCCATCTTGGAGTCCCTGAAGACACAACGAGAGGTCATTGCTGAAGATCCAAAACTGGCGAAAACGGGTGATAGCAAACATGATGAAGCCGGCATTGTGTCGGCTGAGTCAGGACCGGATCCCGCGAAACTATCGCACGACGAAGCCTTTGAACAATTGGGCGGAAACCTAGAACTTTTGAAATATCGGGACGCAACGTATGACGTTATGGAGAATCATGGAGAGGTGAACCTTGAGGCAGAAGTAAAACAGCTATTACCAAGAGATTACAGGAAACGCGTCGGATTTTCTACGAAACTTGTGTATCAGCCCTTTGTGACAACCTTGGATGAGCTCTACGAGAAGGCCCTTTCGGCTTACCCAAAATTCGAACAAGAAATGCTTGACATAGCATTCCAAACCAACAGCAAAGCCATTGTTCCTAAAATGAAGACGAAACTTCGCGCTCGAATGAAGGCACTTTACAAGTATTTCGACCAGAATCGTCAGGGTATTGCATGGTACCGTCTGACAGATATCGTTCGTGCAACCTTGCAGTTCCAGACTATGGAAAGCATGTATGCTGGCTTGAAGGTGGTTGTAGAACATTTTGGTGAAAATATTAAGGAGGTGAACGACAGGTATCAAGAACCCTTTGACAATGGATATCGCGATATCCAGTTGGCGGTTTGCGTTGACGGTCACATATGCGAGCTGCAACTAAACACTGAACTAATGCTGCATGCAAAGCACACAACTGGTCATCGAAACTACACAGTTGTGCGAGAGCTCAAGGCGGCCATCGCCGAGGCTGATCAGCAACGGGTCGAACGGATCCTTGAATTTGGTCTATCCCAGCTTGGATCGTCTGCAGGGTCCAGCGAGAAGTCCTTGTCAACTCTTTTGCAAAGCTCTGACTCAAGAACACTCTTACACGAAGCTGCAAAGAACCAATGTCCAGAAATCGTGTGCGCGTTGATTTCAAGCGGAGCGGACGATAATGCCCAGGACGAAGAAGGCAACACCGCCTTGCATTATGCTATTCGATGTGGCAATGACCGGTGCGTTTGGGTTTTGCTGAACGTTGGCAGCCCAAATTTGGATATTCAGAACAATGAAGGCCAGACCGCTTTAGATGTTGGCTATTTGATGCTTTGGCAGCGTCCACCCGAAGAAAAGGTGCGAGCCTTGATGGCACTAATTCAGTTTGCTGGACTCGAACGCTTGAAGAAGGCGAAGGAGGCTTCCGAAAAGCATCTCACGAAGCGACTACAAGTTCGTAGCTCTTTGGTTGATCATACTAGAGATGGAAATCTGGACTCCATGCTTCGAGAACTGCGTGGATACGCTCATCCAGACTCGACAAGGGATGGAAAATCCGCGATGGAAGTTGCCTTGGAAACAGCCAATGTTGCTGCTGTGGAATTGTTGCTTGATTTTCATGCTTCTCTTCAAACCAGAAAGAGCAAACCATCATTCCTCCAAATGGCAATCGAATCCCAGAAACCTGAAGTGTTGGTGAAGTTGCTGATTGATGCCAAAGCCCCGCTGGACGTTGGTCCTGGCAGAGTCCCGCTCTTGCAGCTTGCAAATCGACAGCGTTCCGTTGCAAAAATGTTGTTGGATGCCGGGGCGCCCATAATCGCATACAAGCAGAAGAAAGTATCGGCAATGCTGTATGAGCCAGTCTTTTGCTTTAACGAGCAAACAACTTTCTCTGGGGGCAAAGTCGAGTTTACTGTTGAAATGCCAGATGGCGTGCCTACAGATGCTCCGCACATCGCCCTCGGGCCCAGTATGGACGCGGACACAGAAGACTTTTATGAAATAGCCTTGGGTGGGTGGATCAAGCAATATAGTGTGATTCGTGATGGCAAGGGTGGGAAGGATATTTCAGTTCATAGAGGTGCCGCCCTTAAGGATGGGGCAATGTTTCGGCTGTCTTGGGACATGGAGACCTTACGTCTGGAGCGACTCATGCCATCTACTGAAAATTGGAAGACTCTGCTGTCTTTGGATCGTGGCAGCGCACCTCGGTTGTTTGCCATCAAGCATATCATGGTTGCTAGCTTGCAAGATCAATTGGTTCATTTTAGAATGTCCATGCCAATATCACAAGAGCTGGACCTTTCTCAGTCTTCGGTGTTCTCCAATATTATTTGGACGCCGACGCAAGTGTATAAATTCAAACATGCGTATAGCTTTGTTGAAAACGACAGCCCCTTTGGTAGCATTGAATTTGACGTGACAGCATGGGCCGACGCCAACATTGCGTTGGGCCCATCGTTGGCTCACGATGGCCAAAAGTACGAAATTGTCTTGGGCGACTGTGATGATTGCCAATGCATCATTCGTGAGGCAAATGCTGGAGACAAACTTTGTGGCAAGGACGGCCCAGTATTATTCAACAATACGAAGACTAGATTTCGCCTTTCTTGGACCAGTACCAATTTGAATGTGGAACGTTTTGACGAGTCCGGTGGTAGCTGGAACCAGTTATTGTCATTAGATCGAACCAAGGCGAGATGGCACGATATTCGATATATGATGGTAACAAGCTGGAATTGTGATATTCTCTGGCGGATGTATGAAAAATTGGATGAAAATCCTGTGTTTATGGCGTCAAAAAAGCTCATCTTGGATCATTAGACGCCTCTGCACGACCCTTACACAGCAAAACCAAAGTGGGGGCTCTCGTAGAAGATCAATGCAATACTCATATATTCATTTGCCGCAATAGGTCACATAGCTTGGAATACGATATGTTGTACGATTCGCAAAACTTGTCGAATATAATGTGATGTAGGATTTGATAGAGTTTTATGGATCATATTTAGTTTCCTCCAGCCATCTTGGCAACTTCAGCGGCAAAGTCGTCTTCCTTCTTTTCAATACCTTCTCCGACTTCGATACGGGTGAAACCGATCATCTTTGCTCCATTTCCTTCGAGGAGTTGTCCAACAGTCTTATCACCGTCCCGGACGTAATTTTGGCTGATCAAACAGATCTCTTCAAGGTACTTGCGGATGCGGCCTTCGACCATCTTTTCGACAATTTCCGGTGGCTTTCCAGATTCAAGTGCTTGTTCGGAAAGGAGCTTCTTTTCCTTTTCCAAGACATCAGCTGGAACTTCATCAGGTGTAGCGAAAGGAGGGTTCATGGCAGCAACGTGCATAGCAACGTCTTGGGCCAAACTTTCAGTTCCTCCTTCAATTTCGACCAAAACTCCAATACGATTCATATGAACATAGCATCCGACTGTGGTACCGTCTCCACCACGTGATTGCATTCTTCGGACTTGGATGTTTTCTCCTATCTTTGAGACCAACGCTTGGCGAGTGGTCTCAAGGCTCTCTCCGTCGGATTCCTCGTTCATCAGAGTCTCGACTTGGTCGTCATTGACATTAAGGGCAGCACTGGCAACCTTGTCGCAGTAACCCAAGAAACTGGAATCCTTTCCGACAAAGTCAGTTTCGCAATTGACTTCGACCATGACGGCCTTTTGGCCATTGGAAGCAAACGCAATCTTTCCCTCGGCAGCAACACGGCTGGCCTTCTTGTCAGCCTTGGCAAGACCCTTCTTGCGAAGGATGTCTGCGGCGACTTCTTGGTCTCCATCGGACTCAATAAGAGCTTTCTTACAGTCCATCATACCAGCACCAGTGGCATCACGAAGTGCCTTGATGGTCTTGGGGGTGATTTCGCCACCGGCACTTGCTGCTGCAGGAGCAGGTGCAGCTTCAGCAGGAGCAGCAGCCTTTTCTGCTTTCGGGGCAGGAGCAGGGGCTGCAGCTGCAGTCGCCTTTTTGGAAGCTTTCTTTGCATCTTTTGCAGCCTTAAGATTAGCAACCTGGTCAGCCATAGCCTTGGCAATGGCTTCCTTTTGCTTCTTGTATTCGACAGAGGCGGCTTGCTCCAAGGCTTCTCTTTCGGCTTGGTTTGGCCTATGAAACGAAACGTGAGATTTTGGTAATATTGATGAGTATCCCTGACCTTCCATCCTTTACTTACGGCTGTCCAAAGGCTGGGTCAACGGTGATATCATATCGTTGCGCTTGGTTCTTGATCTTGCGGATGGTTGACTTGCGAAGCTTCCAGTTCATTTTCTTGAGCATAACATCGTTGCTGGCGGACAAAAGTTGCTCTTCAACGACCTCTTTGGTAGGATTGGTCCCAAGGATATTGTTGATCTTTTGGCGACGAGCCATGTCGGCATGTCCAATTCTCATGGTCATACCACCTTGAGAAAACGATGTGGAGGCACCAAAGGCGCTGCCTCCGACAGGCGCGGCAGGGCCAAAGGCTTCAGCAGAAGCAGCAAACAGAGCCAAAGCAATGGAAGTAGCGATCTTCATCTGGATTTTGAATTTGGGTTATGCGTTTTGCGTTTGGGATGATGCCGTTTTCTGTGATTCATAACTTCTGCGATGGCCGATGATGTGTTGTGCGGCTCCGATGAGAGTGCGTAAGTGATGGGACATATCTTAGTCTTTTTTGCCATCATCATGCCACTTGGAAGCTCCCAAGATACCTTTTCGACTACGGGGACCCCCAGTTGCTTCGGTACTTGATGCTGGTATGTCCCCCGAATCAGTGGGACTGAACAAAACTGATGGCTTGGTCGTCAAGCCACTTGAAACCACTTCAATTCTCCACTTGAGCGACAATCCACAGATTGTCGCAGACACCGCTTTGTTACCATGAGACAAACCGAACAACCGACATCACCATGATAAGATTCAAGTCAATGTAGTTACTCGTGTTCCATGGCAGTTGAGCAAAGGCGCCATCGGGTTCTTTTCCTCGTCGAAGTTTCATTCCAAAGCACACAATTCTAAGAATCCATCAAGCCGTACCACAAACCCATTAAAAATCATACAACTTACAGTATACCTTTCAAAACAAATCAGTAAGTACCACAATAGATGGATCTGCCAAGTACCTGACATTGTCTCGAGGAATTGAAACATGTTCTCACCTGGCATCAATCCATCGTTGTCTACTTTTTCCTCCATGATCAACCCAGTGAACACACCATTCGACGAACCACCTATGCGCAGAGCTCCAAGATCTATTCCGGTTATCCCCCTTCCACCCACCGGATACTCTACGAGCCCGCAACCTGACAAAGACTCTTCCGGCGAAGATTCTGACGAGCTCGACATTCGCAATGTTTCGGCCTTTGATGAGTGGGATGGCGATACTACTGTTGCTACTGGTGACCAGGAATATCACTATGACCAGAGAAATATGGATGATATTCATCGTGTCTTGTCGTTTGACGAAGTAGTCTACAATGATGATGGTCGTGATGACCAATGCCAAGATGAACTTATGTGGTCGATAAGCTTGAGCAGTCGCTGTCACAAGTCGCTCCAAGCCTTGTTCCTCCCTTCGTCGAACTCCAGGGAAGAACAAAGCTTGTCTTCCACACAAGTCACACAAGTTATATCTAATAAGAAGAAAGCGGCAGTGCTTCCAAACATCCGGAAGCTGACGCTTTCCCCTGCTTCTGACACAATCACTGGCGGGACTGTCGATTGTTCGATGTACAGCAAGAATAGCGAAGCGAGCAGTGACAGCAACAGTAGTAGTAGTTGGAACTCTTTGTGGTGTTGTGGAATATCTCAGAGTTACTCTGATGGCTCCCTTGAATGCATTCAGCGTCGCTTGTTCACATCATCCAATCCTGCTCCGCCAATCCCCGATGTTGTCATGATGATGAAGCACGATGTTCGCCCCTCTGCTGAGCATTTACTGCAGCAATTAGAAGCTGATGAGGACAAATCTACTTCCATTACCGTATTTGAAGATGATGATAGCTTTTGGACGATGTAAATGCAGCATTTTCTCGCCAAACCATTGGACATCCAACGTTGGGAGTCGTGTTCAGCGTGTCCGATTTGTTTGGAGAAACGACAGCACGGGTCAAATCATCACTGTATTACAAGTGTCAAGCCGTATGTATATATCTCCTTTCAGAATATTAAAGTACAAAGTTACATTCATATGTAATGAAATAGCTTGTAAGTTTCATTCAATCCTGTTAAAGCTCTACCACGTGGGGTGTTCTTTACAATCGAGATTGCACAGTTTGGTCTTCTGTTGAAAAGCGAACGACTGTATTCCCTCGTCCTTGGTTCGATTCAAACAGCTCGAATGCCTTGTAGTATTCATTTGCTTCGAAGATTCTGTTCACTCGCGGTTGAATGGCACCAGAAGCAAGAAAGTTCAAAATCTGATTCACATTTCTGCGATGTTCCTTTGGATTTTGCATCGCCCATCTGCCCCACAAACTCCCAACGACATTGAGCTCTTTGATGAGTACTATACCCGGTCGGATCGGGCGTTGCCCGGCTGTGAATCCTACCAGACAAATCGTTCCGAGAGGGCGGGTCACAGATGCTAATGCAGTTTCAAACAAATCGCCCTGAACCATATCCACTACCAAATCAACGCCATGAGGATGACCAAGCCGCTTACACGCCTGTTGAGCTTCCTTCTTGAATCGTTTGTAACTTTCCTTGGATCGTCCATACGTCAGAACCACGTCGGCTTGGACCTGTTGTGGATATTTCATTTTCTCCTCCGTGCTAACGCCAGCAATCACTTTAGCGCCCATGGCTTTGCATAGTTCAATGGTCGCCATTCCGACGCCTCCAGACGCACCATCCACCAACACGAGGGATGATGGGCCGATATTTCCAATCGTTTTCAACGAATGGTAGGCTGCAAAGTAGTTTCGGCCGATGTTGGCACACGCTTCCAGAGGAACACCTCCAGGAATTTTATATACAAGGGCTGCGGGAGCCTTGATAACCTCTGACATGCCTCCAGTACCTCCTTCTTGAAGCGAAGTTGCCAAGACTCGGTCCCCTACTTTCAAGACGGATGCTGGCACCTTCTGTCCAACCTCAATGACGGATCCTGTCACGTCCATTCCAGGTATGTAAGGAAGCTTGGGCTTTACCTGATACAGTCCTTGGGCTTGAAGAAAGTCAGGGTATTGGATGCCTGTATAATGAGTCTTGATCAATACCGAATAGTCATCACGGCCATCGCCGCCGCCAAGAGTTGGGCGTGGAATCGTATCAAGCGAAAGGAGTTCTCGAACTTTTTTGGCATCCTTTCTTGGTCGGAACTTTCTGCGTTTGTTAGAATGACTTTGGTCATCGCTTTTTGCTTGCTGCTCCACACAAGCAAACTCGTGGCAACGAATGGCTTGGATCATTGATGTAAAGAGTGCTGAACCGTGGTCAATAGGCCAATAGGCCGAGTATGAGACTGATGATAGCAATTTGCAAACGCATGAATAATTTTGAAACGGGTCACAAAAACGGACGTGAAAATCAATCTATCGGACACGCAGGTGTTGGTAATGTGTAAGACGCAATGTTACCAGCCCTGCTATTTTAAGGAAGATAGCTGTGTTTTCATCTCTTGGTAATCAGCTTCATGGCGACTCTACCTACCTGCACCATATTCAATGCAAAAGTAATTCGGCATGCAAAAATGTAAAAAGAATACAACACCTGGGATTCCAACGTGGTCCCCCACCGTAGTACTAACCAGGCCCGAACATGCTTAACTTCGCTGAGCGGACGGGAAGCGGTGCTGTCATGTTGGTATGGTCGTATCCATTCACCAAGGGTTGATTGGTACTATTTAAAGCAGATGTCGATCCTTTGAACAAAGATCCCAATTCAAATCATCAGTCAGAAAATCAACCCGAACTCGTCGCCAACATGGCAGATGTACTGTAGCTATGATTGACTTCATTCTCTTGTCCTCTACATTAAGCAAGGTCCAATCATATTTTGAGCAACAGTGAGTGATAACATGGCAGCCATTGAAGAACGCGAGATTCCCATGCCTTCTCGTGGTGAGAACGGGAAGGCTAGCATCCATCATCATTTCCATTCCACACGATGTTCCATTCAAAGCCGAACCAACAGATGAATCGACTTATCCGTTCACACTTCCTCCCATCATCTTGCTCCATGGGAGTTTTCATGGTGCTTGGTGTTGGGACGAGCATTACATACCATACTTTGCTCAGCTGGGATATCCTGTGGTGGCACTCAACTTTCGCGGAGCTGGAGACAATGATGCGACGCCTACCAATCGAAAAATTACGATCCAAGAGCATTGCGAAGATTTACATTGCTTCTTGCAACAAATCCCATCCCTTTTCATCGAATCTGAAACCACTTCTGAAGTACATGCTCCGCCTTCCGAACAAGCATCAATAGCTCCGATTGTCAAGCCAATTCTGATTAGTCACTCATTTGGAGGGATCGTTCTGATGAAATATTTGGAGGGCGACTGGAAAACAAAAAGGCAAAAGACTCTTTCAGTGCTATCATTACAATGTGCTCCTTGCCGCCCAGTGGAATGAGTCGGGTCTCCAAACGCATGATGTGGCGATCTGTTGGCGACACTTGGAAGATGGTCCAAGGAATGGCCATGAAGAAGTTTGTGACCGACCCAGCGTTGTGTCGGGATATGTTCTTTGGTGGTCCCAATGACGACAATGAAGAGTATGAAGCTGAATCTGAAGCAAATCCAGATGCTGAACCCAATGCCGATGCAGATGCCAACACTGCTGACACCGCCAACGATGATGATTATGGCGAAGAAGCTGAAGCTAGTCCGGATATATCTACAACGGCCGGATATGATGATGTGGCTGGAGCCTTTTGTCATATGAAATGGCACCCACAAATGGTCGAGATGCATTGCTACCGTATCTTCGGCCATGTTTTCTTTTCTACTGGACTGGCCTTTGGAGACAATACCTGTCCTCCAAATTGGGACACTGTCGCATGTGCCCGGAAACAACTTGCCCAATACTTTTGGAACCAACCTGATACCATCGCAGCGGTGTCCGAACTCATCCCCACCGAGATCAAGACTGCTCCACTTCCGTCACCGTCAGAGATTCGAGATTTCACCCCAGCTGAACCCGATTCCAGGCACCGTGGGGTCTTGAATGCAGATGGCAGCCGCAAGAGCCCCCTGTATGATCATCACGTGGATGACGTCTTGTATGTGGAGATTGGAAAAAATCTGATGCAGGCTGTTTGTGCAAGCATCCGAGCCTTGTAGTCGATCCTTGGTTTCCCTGACCCAGCCAATGGTATTCGGGATTGCGTGTCTTGGAATAAGTTTGAAGGAACCTTCTCCCATCAGCGGAAGGTATTGGGTTGGTTGGTAGATTCACGCCGATTGACTTTCTCCCTTCCAGACTACAAGCAAGACATCCTGATCGACTTTATCACAAGTGCTGTAACTCGTTGCCGATTGTCAATTCGTGAGATCGCTGAACTTCTTGGTCACATCTGCACCGCAACCAAAGCTTGTCGTTGGATGCGATGTTCCTACTTCAAGTTGGAACATTATTTGCGAGTCATTTTGAAAGCACACTATTATGCTATGAATAACGCCAAATCTCCGGGTGCGACCACTGCTCGCCAGTCCCAAAAAGAGCGATTGGAGACTCAAATCCCCTCCGAGTTTTGCCATCGCCTGGAATCATTGGTCAGCAAGCATATTGCCCAAGCCCTCTGGGGTTCCACAAAGAAATACAATATCGGCTCCGAATCACTCCGAGAACTCCATGTTGTCCGATCTAGTCTTCAGACTGAACAGTGGGAAATCTACATTCCCCAGTACATTCAACGCGAACCGCATTTCTTCTCCGATGGCGACGCTAGCCAAAATGCAGGAGGAGCCGTGTCACAGTCTCTTGGCTATTGGTTTCGAGTGATGTGGAGCCCCGGCATACGTGGTGGAGCGACGCACATAAACTGTTTGGAATTCGTGGTTGCTTTCCTCCAAGTGGTTGCAGCAGTTGTTCGCTGTGACAAAGACGGTGTTCCGCCTTTTTTGCGCGACAATTTCCCTGATGGCTTCCCTGTGTTCCCAGTTCTTCTCAGTAAGACTGATAATATAGCAACAGTCAAATGGTTTTTGGCTGCCAAGACAGGGAGGCCACTTGCTCGAGCACTTATCCATTGCTATGGCCGGCTTTTGAAGCGGACGAAGTTATCTTGTGATCCAGAATGGATTCCCGGTGAAAAGAACCTTGTACCTGATTGGATTTCCCGTCCTGATTTAAGTTTATCTCACTCTCAGCTTCTTGCCCAGACGTTTCAGAAGTATCCTTGGATGACAAGGCTCGACTTTTTCCGTCCCAGTCCAGAACTGTGCTGACCAAAGCAGGCCCTTCCCGTCCTCCCAAAGAAGCTCGGACGATTCGTTCCCATCGGATCCATTACTACCGCTTCGTTTTCGATATGAATATGACAGACGACCTTCTCCTACAGCACGTTCCACACGAACGCCGCGTCCTTCAAGTGGCCATGTACGCTACGCACCTCGCCTTGGGCTACAACCTCCATGGCAAACAACTGAAGTCAGACACTATTAAGTCCTATATTTGTCATGTTTCAACTTTCCTGATGCGTTTTGGGGGTCATGACCCACGCTACGACAATGTTGGGGATACAAAAATGTCTCGTTATCTTACTTCTATCTTGGATGAAGTTTCCCGCCATGAAGGTGTTTGTCATAAATGTGAACCATACACTTTGCGCCTCCAGCAAGAGTTGGAAGCTCGTATCCTCCGCGATGCCATTGATCGTGACAGTCTGTTGGCCGCCCTTGCAGATTGGTTTGTTTGTCACTTGATGACTGGGTACTGGCTCTCCAAATGGGCCCAGACATCTGCTGGTATTGAATTTGGGCAACACGCTCGAGATTGATGGCGTTCCCCTCGCTTTTTGTATTGAAGATATTGATTGCCGCCACGCCAATAACGCCAAGGTACCGATTGCAGTTTTTCTCCACCATCCCAAGAAAGTCCACCGGATCTATATCCGATGGACACACCAGAAGAATGGTGACCATGGTGAACTCCGTTTGTTCACGCTTAACACTTCCAACCCGGCACGCTGTTTCATCAAGCGCATACACTCACTCATCTTGCGGTTTTACCGCCTTATGGATGAATCGTTGCCCACTGGCATTCCGCCCTCCGTTTACCGCTCCGACGGCGGTACTGTAACCAACATCCATGATGCCATGATCACCAAAATGATGCGGGACCTCGCGATTCATGTCTACAAATTGGATCCTACCAAAGACAAGATCAAATTCTTGTCTCATTCCCTTCGCGTTGGCGCTTGTGTTGCTCTACACGCCCTTGGCATCACTTCGGACCAAATCAAATTCCTCCTCCGATGGTGGTCCGATGCTTTTATGACATATCTCCACAATATTGCAGTCCTTTGCAACAAGCATAACAATGCTTTGAATATCCTGGATATTATGCCAAACCTACTTTAGCACTACTTTCAACTCCACTCCTGGGGTGGGTCTATCTCCTTTCCCCCCACTTTTCTTTCTTTCTTTCTTTTTCTTTTTCTTTTCTCCACTTCATGCGCCCGATGTGGCCCTTGTCTTATTTTCACTTCCTCCTTTCTGTTGGAAGTGGCCGCACACGTTTTTCTGTGGCTTGGTCTTTCATCCTTTGCACCTTTTCAAACACGCGGTATTCGTAGCTCTCTATTGTGGTGCACTACGTGTGTTTTTAATATACAAGGTCCTACATATCGTTCTTATGAATCAAATGCTTTGGAAAACATGCTTTCAGTACATTACCGGTATACGAGATGGACTTGAAAAAGGCAAAACGAATACAACACCTGGGATTCCAACGTGGTCCCCCACCGTAGTACTAACCAGGCCCGAACATGCTTAACTTCGCTGAGCGGACGGGAAGCGGTGTTGTCATGTTGGTATGGTCGTATCCGTAAATAATACAATCTTTAAGCTATTCAAATTATTCAAATGAATCCACGCCACACACGTTTGCAATCGATCATCTTTCAGGGGGGTTCAATCATAAAAGTAGAATAATCATCCTTTCGCAACCGCAATAGTATCACAAGAATATGGAAGAACTACTGCTGGAATACGAAAAAGAAGATGCCTTCAACCTGAAGGAAATCGAAAAGAAATATGCCAACGGCGAGTATCGAAACCAACAACAGGTTTCCAAGTCCATTTCCAAGTTTGCAGATGCCCTTCTTCGCTGTACCTTTCTCTTTGAAGACAATAATGATGCAGGTGAAGAATTCAAAGAAGGCGATAGTGATGTCAATGCTGAATGGCTTTTGAATATTTGCAGTCAAGTTCCTTCCGAACTCGGCAACGAACAATTGGCTGTGGCCGTCTGGGATGCCAGCAAGCTAGAGGGAGAAGGAAATCAACAGGACGCACTATTTGCTGCGTTGGGTGCTTCGGAAGAAGCCGTCGCTATCTTGTTTGAGATTGTTCCTAAACTGCCGGCAATCCAACGCAACATTCGGAGGTCTCAACTTGGCGGCAACGGAAATGCCCAAGCATCGCCCTTCTTTGTACCACCGGAAGACATCCTTGACGAAGCCGAATTGAATCGTCAAAAGCTTCGACAGGAAGCCTTGGATGCCGCCCAAGTAGCCGCCATTACAAAGGCAGAAGCGGAGGCTGCTCTCGGACCGTCCCGCTTTGGATCCACGCACACCATTCGTCGAACCAGTGACATGAAGGAGCAGAAGATGGCCCAAAAAGCAGCCAAACGGGCTGCTCAAGCTATGCAGCGCGCCAAAGCAGCCGGAGCAATTATTGAAGAATCGGAATTGTTGGCTGTCAGCAATGCGGGTGTGGTGGGTGCTGGTGGATTGATGGGGCATACCGACGCGGATTTGCAAGCCTTGCAAGACTCTCTCCAGCCCGAAGGCTCCCGCTATTATCACAAGGAAGAAGGACTTCCGAGTGGAACCATTCGTGAGGACGACGATGTGATTGGATATGAAAAGGTCACCATTCCACCTCCCATTCTGGACAAGTCTAAACTTCATCCAAGATTGTCGATTGACGACATTCTTGATCCAGACTGTGCCCTTGCATTCAGTGGCACTACTACACTCAATCCAATGCAATCAACAGTGTTTGATACAGCCTTCAACAGAAGAGAGAATATGTTGGTGTGCGGTACGTCATTAATCATTCTCTGTTATCATGCTGCTTTTTTATTTGCTCATGACAGTTTCATCAAACCCTTGTGTTCTTCAGCGCCCACGGGTGCAGGTAAAACAAATGTGGCCATGTTGACAGTGACAGCACACTTTCGAGATGTCGGCTTGATTGATGGAAACAATGGCCGAGACATGGATACAGGAGACAAGGTTGTCTACATCGCCCCGATGAAAGCGTTAGCGCAAGAGGTCGTGGAAAAGTTTTCATCCAAACTGAAACCACTCGGACTCATTGTGCGAGAATTGACAGGAGATATGCAACTCACCAAAGCGGAAGCCAATTCCGCCAATGTCATTGTCACGACGCCAGAAAAATGGGATGTTGTCACAAGAAAGTCGGGAAGTGACGAAAACGCTTTGGGGAATCAGTGTGGTCTACTCATCTTTGATGAAATCCACTTGTTGGCAGATGAGAGTCGAGGGTCAGGTAAGTCCAAATGTATCATCGAGCTCTTCGACGATAATGAAGAGTTGAGTATAGCCTTTCACTAATGGCATTTTCTCTTCTCCGCAGTTATCGAGTCTGTTATTTCGCGGCTCCACCGACTTGTGGAAAGCAGACAAAAGCAACTTCGAATCGTTGGCTTGTCAGCTACCCTGCCAAATTATGAGGATGTCGCAGAATTTTTGCATGTGCCCGAAAGGGGTCTCTTTTACTTTGGTCCAGAATATCGACCTGTCCCATTGCAACAAACCTTTGTTGGTGTCACTGGCAACATCAAGAATCGAAAACTGATTGAAGACAAGATGAACGACGTTTGCTATGAGGAAGTCAAGGACGCACTTTCGAGGGTGAGTGCCGGGAAGACCAGGTTGATATGTTGATTGGACCAAGCAACTTACTCTTTTTCCATTGATCGGCTGAATGAATAGGGCTACCAAGTCATGGTGTTTGTGCATTCTAGAAAGGGAACGAGTGATACTGCGACGGCTTTGACCCAGCGAGCTTCCGCCAAGGGAGAGCTGGACCGCTATTTCGTAACTCAAGGAAAAGAGGGTCGTTCTGGAGACGCTTACAAGCGCTACGCGGACAGAGCCAAGAAAGCCAGAAGCAGAGAAGTTACGAATCATTTCTACAATGGAATTGGAATTCATCATGCTGGCTTGCTTCGGCCGGATCGGAAGTTGACCGAGACAATGTTTGCAGACGGGGCCATCAAGGTTTTATGCTGCACGGCGACTCTGGCGTGGGGAGTCAATCTTCCAGCACACAATGTCATCATCAAGGGTACCGATGTCTACAATCCTGAGAAGGGAAAAAATATTGACCTCAGTATTTTGGATGTCCAACAAATTTTTGGGCGGGCTGGTCGACCGCAGTACGTGAATCCAAGTCACAGATCAAGGGTTGCGCCATGATGTTGAAACATCACCTCACAACAGTTTTTTGCTCGTTTCATAGGTACGACACCACGGGAGAAGCCATGCTCATTACGAATCACCAGGCAGTAGGTCGATACTTGGACAAACTGGTTAGATCGGTTCCAATTGAGTCTTCGTTCATCAAACAGCTTTCTGACCACCTTAATGCGGAGATTGTTGGGGGAACAGTGACGAACCTAAATGAGGCTGTTGCTTGGCTCCGCTACACATATCTTTCAATCCGAATGAAGAAGAACCCACTGGCTTATGGTATCAGTGCTGATAAGTTTGCTGACGATCCAGGACTTCGTTCCCATTTTATGGAACTAGTGCGAAACGCAGCAACTTATCTGTCTACTAATCGAATGGTCAATTTCGATCCTCAATCTGGGAATCTGGGGATGACTACACTTGGAAGAGTGGCTGCCCACTTCTACATTCAAGGAGAAAGCGTTGTGATTTTCAACGAATCCATGGAATTGAAACCTTTTCCCACAGATGCAGATTTGTTAATGTTGGTTGCGTCAGCAACAGAGTTCGAAAACGTTCGAGTTCGTCCAGAGGAACAAGACGAGCTAGACAACTTGCAGCAGAAGTGCCCGTTGGAACTGGAGGGTCCAATCAATGATTCGGTCACCAAAACATTTGTCCTTCTCCAAATGTTTATTTCGCGGAATCGACCCAAGGGTTTCACTTTGATATCTGATACAAACTACATCGCCTCCAACGCGGCTCGCGTGTCCAGGGCCATTTTTGAAATGTGTCTCCATACCAACCAAGCGGGGACTGCTATCAAGATGTGCCGCATTGCAAAGAGTATTGACAATCAATTTTGGTGGTTTCAGACTCCCCTCAGATATTTCGATCGCGAAGTTGGGGACACCGCAATCAAGGCTCTCGAAAGTCGACACCACGGAAGAACTATGAACTACGGAACCCTTGACTCTACGTTGGAATTGCTAGACATGACCCCAGAAGAGGTCGGTCAGATATGTCGCTCCAAGAAGGCGTTTGGCCAGAAGATTCAGCGAATGATTGAATTCATTCCAAATCCGGTGGTTTCTTGTCGGGTTCTTCCTGTCACGCAGCACGTTCTCCGATTTCAAGTGGAAATTGTTCCCGAGTTTGAATGGCACGGAAGGTGGCATGGCGGAGCAGTCTCGTTCTGGTTTTGGGTAGAAGGGTCGGAAAACCAACGAATGTAAGCAATGGTTCATTTTTCTTTGCTGCACCTCCATCAAGGATTATCTGACAATTTTTCGTTTCAATCTGAATTACAGTTATCATCAAGAACACGTTGTGTTCACCAAAAGGACCTTTCCCGAACCAATCAAGCTTGATATCCCCATTCCTGCATTCCAGGGTCCTGGAAACCAATACTTATTGAGGCTAATCTCTGAAACTTGGGTTGGAGTCGAGATCACGCAGCCCATATCTATTGACGAGATTCGCATGCCACAGCAAGATACGGTCTATACTGACTTATTCGATCTCACTCCGCTGCCCACAACAGCGCTGCAAGATGAGCGATACGAGAAGTTGTTTTCGCGAATTGAAACTTTCAACCCTGTCCAGACACAGCTATTTCATACTCTGTACCATACCAACATTCCAATCTTTCTAGGGGCTCCAACTGGAAGTGGGAAAACAGTCATTGCGGAGCTTGCACTGCTAAGAATGAAGAAACTGCACACGGATGGTATTTGTATCTACATCGCGCCATTGAAGTCATTGGCTCGCGAAAGATTGAAGGAATGGCGAGCGAGATTTGGGGAGTCGTCAATGAATTGGAACGTCTTGGAATTGTCTGGTGACACGCATCACGACCAGAAGGCGTTGGCCAATGCTGATGTTTTGGTATGTACACCTGAAAAATGGGACCTGATTTCGAGGAATTGGAGGGGTGGGATTGGAGCTAGCAAAGCCTTCATCAAGCGTGTTCGCTTGTTGATCATCGATGAAATCCATCTCCTAGGAGAGGAAAGAGGCGCTGTGCTTGAAGCCATCGTTAGCCGCACAAGATTCATTTCCAAGTTTTTGCAGAATCAAAACAAATCTAATGGCAATGGCGGAGATTCGGGTCCATATGAGACCGTTCGAATCGTAGGTCTTTCGACTGCAATTGCAAATCCTCAAGACTTGTCACATTGGATTGGGATTGATGTTGATAGCATTAGTCGCACAGCGAGGCATGGCCTTTACAACTTCAGGTCAGCTATCCGACCGGTACAAACAAAGATTCATATCCAAGGTTACCCAGGGAAGCATTACTGTCCAAGGTATGTACTTTTGGCTGCGGCATGATCGTACTTACAATCTTTGCCTAAGCATGTCTTTATATTTCTTCAGAATGGCATCTATGAATAAGCCTTGCTACGCAGCAATCAAGCAGCATGCACCAGATCGACCGTCCCTCATTTTCGTTGCTTCTCGTCGCCAGACGAGATTGACAGCATTTGACCTCATCAGCTATGCTGCTAGTGAAGGAAATCCGAAGATGTTCCTTGGCTGTAGCGATCTGATGATAGAATCAGTTGTCGAAAACATTCAGGACGAAGCACTGAGACATACTCTTGCATTTGGAATCGGACTGCATCATGCTGGACTAGTATCAAGTGATAGAGATGTGTAAGTTATCAAATCGGCCATTCTCGACACATCATGCCAAACCAACGCTTATATTCATTCTCTTTTTGTGAACTGGTCAGTGTTGAACGGATGTATTTGACGGGAGATATTCGGGTTCTAGTAGCCACGGCAACGCTAGCTTGGGGTGTGAATCTTCCGGCGCGGCTCGTCATTGTCAAGGGGACTGAGTTTTACGATGGTAAAGTCTCAAGATACGTTGACTACCCATTGACAGATGTCCTGCAAATGATTGGACGAGCAGGTCGACCAGGATTTGACACTGAAGGAAAGGCAGTGGTAATGGTGGAGACATCGAAGAAGAATTTCTACAAGGTAAATATCTTTTGTTCCGGTGCTTCAATCAATAAATGGTCTCTAGTCTCACAGCACTGTTTGCCTTGTTTACATCAGAAATTCTTGTATACTCCTTTTCCGGTAGAATCGTGCCTCAAGGAACGGCTTTGTGAGAATCTAAATGCGGAAATCGCCAATGGAACGGTATCTTCTCTGCTGGATGCCACCGGATATCTCACTTGGACGTTCTTCGCGCGGAGAGTGAAAGCAAATCCTTCGTACTACGGTGCCGATTCTGGAAGTGAAGAAGATGTTGAAGCGTTCCTGCTCTCTGTGGCCACAGAGACTGTATCGAAGTTAAAAGACCAAGGCTGTGTGGTCAGCGAAGGCGACGAGGTGGAAGACGATCTTCGACCCACGACTCTTGGAACTACCAGTTCCCAATTCTACTTGAAGTACACGTCGCCGAAGCAGATGGAAATTGGACTACGCGAATGCGCTCGGCTTTTGATGGATAGCTTGGACGAAGAAAAAGAAGTTGGCAAGACACCAAATGTTTCGTTGCGGCCATACTTGCCTGGTGAAAGAGTTGATGAAGTTTCCATTTCTTGGCTCCTCTACACATTATCCTTTACTCCAGAATTCGATGAGTTGCCAGTGCGCCACAACGAGGAGGACTTAAACGAGGGTCTGAGTGAGAATTTGATGTGGGGTGCGGATACAGCCGGTGTCCAATCTCCAGAAAGCACGTATATCTACCGGTCGTCCGATGTCTACGCTGACCCGCACACCAAAGGCTTCTTGCTGATCCAAGCGTTCCTTGAAAAAGTAGGTCAAGTCGAGGGAAGAATTACGGTCACTTTCCTTGTTGTCTCATCTCTTTGCTCTTTCTTTAGGCACAACTTCCCATCAGTGACTATGTAAATGACACTCGCACAGTTATGGATAGCGTTCCTCGGCTTTTGGCAGCGATGCATTTCGTTGCATCCAACCAATATGAAACCGATGGATATGCTGATGTTGTGAGTCAACTATTCAGGACCAAACAGTTGATCTCAACAAAGAGCACTTTGAGCATGAATCCAATATTGCAGCTGCCAGGAATTTCGAAGAAAACAGCCGAGAAAGCAGTTAGCGAACTTGGAGATGGTGCCTTTTGGCATTTGAGGCAGGCTTCCAGAGCCCAAGCAGAGCAGCATTTGAAGAATTTCGGTCCACCAAAACAAAGGAACTACGCATCAGCGTTGAATAATCTGTTATCTTATCCGAAAGTCACAGTTACTGAATCAAAGATTGCTCATCGCGTTGACAAGGTCACGGTGAAGAGCAAGGGGACTCTGACTTTGAAGATCCAAATTGATCGCAAAAAGGGATCCCAAGACGAGCCCATAACCCTTGGTATTGTTGTGGCGAGCAACGCGAGTCGCAGGTTGCTGGGATACCAAGAAGTCTCCATCAGTAGAAATGGAAATTGGACAGTAGACAAGAGCATTGACTTTGATTGGGAAGCTGCCAGATCCGATGGTGGTGAAGGAAGTGGTACAGTGATTGTCCGTTTGTTACTGGATTCCGTCAAGGGGCTGGACTCGGAACTTTTGGTAAAGTTAGTGTAAAAGTAATCGAGAAACGATAACACTTTTGCTATAGCAATGGCCAATACGTTCTATTATTAAGAACACTATTAGCTTTTAGCAGGCTTTCGCAAGTCACAAGGTGTTCCTCGCAGAGTGCCTAGTGGTGATTTGTACACTGAAAAGTTCAATGGACCTTCCTCAGCCTTTCGTAAGAATTGGACGTCTTCGTCGCAGAACCGTACCTCGTTCTTGGCAGTCTTGGTAAAATCAAAGGTGCTGGCGAATTCAGAGGGACCTATCGCCAAGGGAGCATCAAGATGCATTGGAACAACTCGTTTGAAATTCCATTTGGTGACAACCCCTAGCCATCGTTGTACCTCTTCTGGACCTCGGGCCAATATGATTTGAATGATTGGGAGTATCGTGGGTTTGCCATTGGCACTAAAGGTCTCAAAATCCTTGATTTCATCCTCCCCCCATGAGAATGGTTTCCAACCTCCCCATCCATCCTTGTAGAGTGGCGTCTTTAAGGCTTCCAGAATTGGACCAGGACCCAAGTCGCCTCGCCCGGAACCAGGGAAGAAAAAGTCGAACAAAAGGACAATCCGCCTCCAACCTTTCCGCCTGTTCTCTGGTGTATCTTCTACTACTTCATCTTTTGTATCACGGGCATGAAAGAGTAAAGCTCGAGTGTATTCTTCTTCGTCAGTCAGAATCTTTGGTGGCTCTTTTGTCACTGCAAACAGTGCATCACATATCATGACACTTTCTGACGGTTTGTGATAAATAGCTACGTCTTGATACATCGACCCGATTCCTGGTTTCACCGTCAAGACTTCGTGCTCTAATTCACCTCCCCACATGTCGGTCCCTCGGCTTGTCCTCGGCAGAGGTTTCGTCCAAGATGGCAGTCCCAAGAATGAGTCTGGCAGATTCAATGGAAAGGCATATTGTTTGTCGGTAACATAAAAGTTGGCGGTTGGAAAGGCTCGAGCAAATGGACCAGCGTTTACTTTATGTTCCACCGCCGTCGAGGGATCAATAATATCACTAATGGGACCGTACTGGTCGATCAATTCCTGCAGTAGCGACAGACATTCTTTGGTGGGAGCAATGGGTGCATACACCACCAATCCGCGTTTGGATGGGTCCTTCTGGTGTACAGCCATGACGCTCATTCGGATTGGCACGTGTACATAATATATTCCAATCAATTGATCAAAGGCGTAGACTCCGGGACCGACCTCATAACGAATCGTTCGTCGTCGATTAAAGGGTGCCACGGGCAAGGCGGTCCAAAGAGGCCAGTTGCTGTCTTCAGTGATGACCGCGTTTGCTTGGGATGGGGCAATCGTTGCAGTCGCAATGGCACTCGTTGTTAAGGAGACTTGGGACAAAAATGATCTCCTGTCGCCGCTGTGAGAGCTGTCTTTCGAGTTGGGTTTCAAGTCATTGCACTGGATTCCATTACGAGAATTCTCCTGTGAGGATGGAGCAGTCAAAGCCCAAGCTCTTGATATAGAAATACATATTATGGAAGTGATCAAGACTAGACTAGGGATTGGTTTGAGCATTCTCCTTTAGCGAAGGACGGAATGATTCCAAACCTCTCCTTGTCGTCATCATACTTTGGCCATCAAACGACCTCGGTTTGCGTGTTGACGATGAGTCAGTCAGTCAGTCAGTATTTTTTGGTCTTTCAACGACTGACTATAAATACTGACGACGACAGACACCCATCACCATACCCATGAAATTCATAATTGATTCAAAATGAAGATAATGCAAAAGCAGTGCCTGTCAATAATAACAGCGCCAATGGTCTGAAACAACCAGAAATGCGACAAGTACGCTTCCCATTACATTACATATCCCTTGTCATGATGTGGATTTTATGTACAAAGTCAGTGGTTGGTTATCTGGTGCCTTCATTCAAGTCCTTTCGTTATTTATCGTCGTCAATTCCTACCAAAAATGTTGTCCTATTTTCACAATCCATCAAGATTGATGGCTGTGAAGATAAACCAGACGATAATCTGCTAAAATACGTCAGTAAATCAACAGCCAAAACGGACGCAGCTTCACAGTTTCATGAAGGATCTAAAGAACGACGGCAAAGACTGCATGCTGCCTTGAGTGAAATTGGAATCCCGGTCGACTCCTTGGTGGAGAGTCCAGAGTTTAAGGGATCTGCAGCCATTCGAACCTACAATAGCTTCATTTTACCAAAATCGGAAGGTGCTTTGGCCATGACAATGCAACCACAACGAGCATCTGTCGTTGCAAACAACATTTCTTTCCTCATGCGGGAACATCGGTCGCATCAAGAAGAGTGGCTACGTAACCATGATCGATCCCTCCAAGAAGCTGCCGAACTCCAAGAGCAACGACAATCTTCAGCACCCAAAATGATTCTTCTTTTAGATGATGTTCGATCGGCACACAATGTAGGAAATATCATTCGGGCGGCCGAGGCATCCGGTTGCGAAAAGGTCATTATGTGTGGGTCCATGACACCTTCGCCACCTCATCCCAAAGTCCTCAAGACTGCACTAGGTGCAGCGGAGTATGTCCCTTACCAATCATCCATATCGACCCTCCAGGCAATACGCGACTTGAAGGCAAATGGCTATCAAATCTTTGGGATCGAAACCACTTCCAGGTCCAAGATGCTTTGGCAAGTTTCCTTTTTTGAGCAACTTGCTGGAGAAGCAAACCCAGGCAAAGAGACACAGAACGGCAAGGTGGCACTCGTCTTTGGTAATGAATTGGTGGGAGTGGACGTCAAAGTTTTGGAAGAGTGCAACGAGCTGGTATCTGTCCCAACTCATGGGATCAAGAACAGTTTGAACGTAGCAACCTGTGCTTCCATTATTGTTTGGGAAGTCTTGCGACAATGGGATGCTATCGAACTCAAGACAAAGGAGGCATAAATTCTTACAATGAAGACAATACTGCTGATGCTCCAAGAACCCAAGAATTCCTGGTCAATAGCAACCTCATGGACTCAAGATTCTGCTCTACGACAACGATTTGCAACAGTTTGGCTGTCGACTGTATTGACCAGAGCTCATCAGTATGAGCGTGGTGGTGTCTTTGCCTTTTACAGCTGTCGAGACAAAGTGAAGCGATTTAACATACAAGTATGTTTTTGGAGGAAGTTGGATGAAACAGGAGGGAGAGCTGCAGAAGTCTCGAATACAACTTTGTTGAATCTGAATCAACAGGCGGCACACAATAGTAAAGCATAATCCCTACAATTGCTGCATCAAATACAAGCTTCTGGAGCTCAAGAAAGCGATCTTTTGTCAACAGTGATCCGTCTCCATTCTGTAATCTCTTGTATTGATACCACGTCTTTTTGGCCGAAGAAGCAAACGATTGATCCTCCAGACAAGTGGGTGGAACATTGCAATGGCCGTTTTCGTCGCGAAACTGCTCTAGCTTTTCAATTCGATTTGATTCTTCCAAGGTACCATGGTACCAGGTACCTCCCGCTCGAACCCAAGATTCCTGAGCTCAAGATTGTCAACCGTGACTCCTTTCACTCTTGTATTGCAGTTTGCAGAAGTATCGTACATCGTACTGTCCTTGTCACCGTGCGATGGATGGACAACCATCGAACGACGAAAGGACACTGTCCCTGGGGACTCCATCAACCTGAAAACTGTCATCGACAAGAAAATATCTCATGCAGAATCTAAATCAAAACCTATCGGTATACGGTAGGAGCGAAAGCAGGAACGATTGTTACTAATATTGTTTCGATGCTTGTATCCATGGTCAACATCATACAACAAATCATGAAAGAACAAACCGAAGCCAGTCATACCCCCGCGCCAGCAATCGACTGATAGGCAGTAACGGAAGGATCGATCAATGGATTTGGCCAAATCAATTGACCCGAGAAATCAGTTGTGGTTGTTGCTGCGTAAGGTCATACGGTGACTTTTCGAAGCAACCTTCGACACTCCCTTCTTTGGATTGCGCCTCTCGCGACAGGAAGGTTTGGGAGTTGCTGCAACCCGATCCTCCAAATCGTCCATACGCACGGACAATTGGTCATTCACTTCCATCAACTGAGCGATTTGTTGAGCCTGAGCCGCGCTTTGTTGAACCTGGACCGCGATTTCTTGAGACTGAACCCTTGCGCTCTCCTCAAGTTCACGAATTCTCTCGTGTGGAGTTTGGTAACACAACTTGGATTTCTCTTTGACTTCTTCGGTGCTATTGATGTTGAGCACCGCACGTGAGTTACAGTTATGTCTTTCAAGTTGACCGGTAGTAGCAAAGGACGACTCAGTCCAATTGGTGGTAGCAACACCATGTCCGCTTCCCCCGCTATTGATACGCGACTGATGATTCAAAGACGACAAGCTGCCCCCATCGAAAGAACTGCTCTCGGGATTTGTGACGTTGTTTGTCTGCATTGCTTGTCCAGGACGACGAGTGGAAAAAGATGGGGTCATCTCCTGCCCAAGATTGTTCTCCTGATCAGCAGGACTTGTCGCTAGAGTAGTGAAGGATTCAACCGTCGTCCTTTTGTTGGAAGAATCAGTTTGGCCTTCTTCGTTGCTGTCTTGGTCATCCGCAGACGGAAAGCCAGCAGTTGCAGGAGGGCCAGCATTGGCAGCAGGCTGGTTCTGACCACCAGTCACAGCTGGAATAGAGGGATGCCGAGCTGCACTGTCAAAAGTACCGAAGCGATGAGTAGCTCCGGGAGGGCCAGCATTGGCAGCAGGCTGGTTCTGACCACCAGTCAAAAATGGAACAGAGGGATGCTGAGTTGCACCGTCCATAGTAGCTCCTCTAGTGCCAGCCAAACGTCGAGCTGGGCGGCGATATCGAGGCCTGGTTGAAAAACTGGCATTGGCATTACAATGAGCAAGCGAGCGGCCAACCAATGCGTTGAGAAAGCTGCAGGCAACGCTTGGGGGATATTGATGAAGTTCATGATTCCAATGGGATCTGGATCATTGGATGGATCTCTACTGTATACCATGAATCTGTTGTACGCTATTTCCCCTCTCAACAAAAAAACCAGGAGGGCTTGAAGCTTGCGCTTATTTGTGTTGTGTGATAGGGGTATCTTGTTACCGAAGTTGCGCTTGTACGGTTCGCTCAACAAGTATGTCTTGAACGCTGGATTCCTCTCAAAACCGGGTGCAATGCGACGCAGAGTTCGGAAGATTTTCTTGTTGTTGTATTTGTTTGGGCAAAACAAGTCTTGCAGGCCTCCAGGAGCAGGAAAGATATGGTGTTCAATCTCTTCTCGGGTCCATACTGCGTAGGCATCCCCTTCCCTATTCGCAATATTACGGATGAATAATGTGAGAACCTGAAAGGCAATTGACAGACTCGTAGATGAAATCGAAAGCATTGTTCTTACTTGATCTTGTTCCTGATAGCAATGTCCTCTCGTAGTATCGCAGATGCGTGCTCGGCCTGGGAAGCGCGTTCCTTCCGTTGTTGGACCATTGTATCAAGATGGTCTATGTTTCTGTTGAGATTCGTGACTTCGACATCTATCTCGTTCTTGAATTCGATGTAATCTGCAGTGGCCGATTGTAGGTCCGAAAGGAAGTCGTCCTTTCGGTCCGAAGCTTCGTGTCTCTGGGCGTAGAGGCCTCTCACAGCAGCCTTACTTTCCCGTGCCTCGTTGTCCAGCCATTCCTTCTCATGTTCCTGATACTGCAAGTGTTCTTCAAGCTTGTCTCTGTTTATTTTCTCAAGTTCAAGGAAACGCGGCACTTGTTCTGGGGCCAAGAAACTGAAAGTTGGCGACATGATGATATAGTATGGTAGAGGATAGGTTGACGTTCAGTGTGAGTCTGGAATGCGAAAGCTGTAGTGATGAATTGTTAACAAGTTGTTGCAACATCAAATCTGTGTCGTTGTTCTCTTAACCCTCTGCCTCCGCTGGAGTTTGGCATCACTCCGATTCTCTCTCGAGCCGTTAGGTTCCCAAGTCACAAGATGTTTGATATAGAACATATCCATGAGTGTAGTGCTGCATTGGTCCATGCACGTAACAACAAAAAGTGACCGTTGCTATTGCTTTCAATCAGTTTGGTACTGTGTAATATTCCGCGTTTGGCAAATTTTGAGTTCATTCTCGTATGGCGGACGGACAACCACCAGCGAACGATGAACGGACACCCAACCGCTGAAAACCATCATCGGTATTATAATACCTGGTACCTGGTACTGTAGAATATTGTTTCGATTCCTGCATCCATGGTCGATATCATACAGAACAAACCATGAGTGAAAACCCCGGGTCTGCAGTTCGATCTTTTCGAAAACGGAAGCGTTCTTCTCGACCTTCGTGGAAGGACTTACCAGCTTTCTTGGACATATCATCGACAGTTTCTGTCAGTCTTTTTGCGTCTCGTCGATTGCCCGAATTGAGAGATCTCCATGCCCAACTTCGAACTGCTGCTAACGGACAAAGTAGTGCTCAGGATAGACATGGGAGTAGTGTAAACAGCAAGCCTTCACAGGTCCAACCAGAAGTGGCCTTGCGAAGTGGAGGTGCCAAGACATCCAGTCGACATCTAAGGCGAAGGACGACGGCAGTGGAACGAAAGAAACACAAACATCGCTTTCCGAAGGGAAATCAGCCGTCATCACAGTCGACGACACGAAAAGCCAAACGTGGAAGGAGATCGACACTCTGTCAAGGGCATTTTGAATGGCAGCACAATGCACTTCCTGTCAAGAAGAAAGAGGCAACAACACACGTGACAAATTGGATGGTGACGCACTTATGGCACGCCAAGCGGTTTCATATGGAGACCTTGTGGGGATGGCGAGTACCCTTATGCCACTCGAATCGGGGAGGCCGTGCTATGCTACGCTTGGAACAGGAAAATCGATGCAGCCTCCAAGATGTTACTTGGAAACGGCAAACATTGGCAATCTCGTCTGACTTGCCGCTGTCTTCGCTGGTGCCTCTACTGTCACGCATGTGCCCAGATTTTGGTACAAACCAATCGGCTCTTGCCGGAATTCAGATAGGAAGTGGAATGCTGCATCGTCTGGATCAGTTTCCAATGCAAGCTATCGGTCCTGTTCGATGGAAAGTGTCCTGTCAGAATGAAGCGAAAACATACCGTTGGATGGTTCAATTCCTTGTTCATCCTTCCATTTACGCTGATTTCAGCGACAATATTGAACAAATCATGACAGAGGAATCAAATATCCAATTAGAAGAATCCTCGAATATGATTGGCAATTCATGCTTTCAATTATGTGGGAGCTCGGCCACGAACATCATTCGAAATGTGCTCCAACCGACGCACGTTAGAGATACTGCGGCTTCTACTTGCTGGGACTGGTCTAAAGTGCCGGACGAACAAGTGCCCGAGACTTGCTTGCCGCATGGATCCATGTTCCATGTTACTTTGCACCTTGACGGCAACTCTCAAGGGTCAAAGACGCCATCTTTGGAGGGATTGCGTGTACATGTGACTCAAATGCAGAGAAGTATAGAGCAAATGAATCTTAAAAAGGGGGATGGAGAAATAATGGTATCCAAGATTGGGCCGAACCAGGCACTGTTGATTTGGCAAGCGCCACGGGAGCTAAACTGCTTGCCCAACCAAGCCGTTTCCGGATGGGAGATTCACTGTTCTGATCCCACATTGGCAAAGGCGGTTTGGATGAAGCTCGTTCTGGCTGGACCATGCTGCCCTATGGGTATGGTGGAAGAAAGTCATTTGAAATTGGAATGCAGTCCACCAATTCCCATGTTCCCGAGAGATTACGTGGATACGCCTCAGGGGCAACTGTATTGGAAAGGAAATACGAAAGGCCCTAGTACAGCTGCATCCAAAGCGGAAGGTACTGAGCCGTCTGGAAATCTGGTCCGGCGACTTTGGGAAGGCGGATGGGGTAGACTTTCCATCAAAACTACTTCGGTAAAAATGTGTCGAATCTACTGGAGCCGCCTGGTTTCCCATGAAGATTCGGAAGAGGACGAAAAGTTTTCACAGAAGAAAGAAGACGACCAGTCATCAATTCAACAAGAGCAAGGAATGAACGAAGATGGCAAAGACGATACCGAATCCGACGATGACACGTCTACTGTGGTGGTTCGTGGAGCCTTCGTGCAACCTTTCGTGCAGGCTCTCCAAGGATGCGGGCAACAGCCTCCTGAATCTTCAGGCCAAAACGAAGCTTCGGTTGGAACCCATAAGCTGCGAAAACGAAACCGCCGAAGAGCGAAACCTCTGAACGATGTTCTGAAAGCCCCACCATTGTCCAAACAAAATAGCGAGGCATGGAAACAAAGTTGTTTTGGCCTACGATCTTCGTTATCGCTTCCAGCCATGCTAGTTTGTCATGTACAAGTTGCGGGTAAGGGAGCAATGCAGCCAGGAGATGAAGTGCGTTTTGAATCTATTCGTTTGGGTTATATCACTATTGCTTCCTTTTCTTTGGGTCGGGGGACGTGCCATGGAATTTCAGTGGTCGGAGCTGCTCGTCTCTTGCACGCATTGGAATCGTCTAGTTCCAATTCTGGACGGCATGTTCGTTCACCGGATAGCTCTCGTAGCTTGCAATTGGCAGTAACCGTCAGGGCTGGAGACACTCATTGCCAAGGATCCCTGTCAATCATGTAGACGGGTCGCTACCAGTGCATGTCCACATTCGTTGGAATTTGAAGAAGCATTTCTCGAATAAACTAGCCTCCATTTTCTCTCTTGCACTATTTCCCAATACCCTGTTCTTCTTGTCATGAGTCTTTACTACTCCTGTAATCCCTTCAGCGTTTGGGCCATCTTTACGATCTTAGTTGGATCGACACCGAGAGGATTGAATCCACTGATTCGTTTTCCATTTTCCAGAACAGCGATCTTTGCAAAAGGATGATCCGGAGTATAAGCAAGGTCAATATCCATCCAATCCCATACAAAGACTTCGGTTCGAAAAAATCCCTTGACCAAGATCAATTGATGACTTGTGATGCAACCCTGTCCTCCCAATTTGGTTTGAAAATTTAGAATGGGGATGGGGCCCCGACGAATGTTACTGGTTTTCGATTGTAGTGTCAGTTCGTACCAGTGGTTCGACAATTGCTTTACTCTCGGGATATGTGGATGGGAATGTGGAAGAAGGATGATCTTTTCCAATAGCAATTTCACTCGAGCTTGCTGTTGAGTCACCTTTATCATGTTCCTTCGGGACAGCTTTTTCAAGAATTGGGATTGATCTTGATCATCAGCTTTACCAAAGGCTACAAAAACACGATGCGTTGCATCGATTGACATTTGCAAAGACTCTTTTGGGCGAAAGGCTTCCAAGCAGTTGGCTGCCACTTGATGCGCCACCTCGTCTAGAGCTCTACGAACCATATCGTCCCAAGGAAACTCTTCCATTTTTCGCTTCTTCATATGAATGGGCGCCTGTCCCATATCCAACGAATGATCTGGATTGAATTTGTTCTTGTCTTTGTGCTTGCTGTTGTTGAGTCGAATGAGATAGTCATCCAGCATGACTTGCTTGAGATAGGCTTCAAAGTCGGCGTACTCCATGAGAGCTTCATGCAATATGGTCTCTGCTTTTTCCATTTGTTGAGCCAAATCTGCAAGCATATTGTGCTGTGATATCTGAGCTAGATGAAAGCAGAAATCTCGATCCAAATTGGGTTGACAAGGCCTCATTCCAAATCTTGAGGAAGATTCTGTGATGAGAGTGTTGTGAGTGGCTTTAACCATTTCCAATTCCGACCAAATGCGTTCCATCAAGGAGTGAGATTCTTGTAGTACCTGTTTATCCTTGGTCGATAAAGAAGGAAACAAGTTTCGCACATCCTTGTAAAATACGGACAACACGGATTTCGAAGTGAAATTTTGACCATGTTTGGATTGTAATATTCGTGAGGTTTCTTTCTGGGTTGGTCCTGGAGCTCGGTGTGAAGGTAGAAATCCATGTTGTTGGACAAGCTTGACCAAAGCCGAAGCCTCTGATATGAGTTCGTTCAATCTTGTATGCTGGCTTTTGAGTGGCGACATTGGCTGTTCCTCTCGGCTATTGATAACGATATTCTTTATCTTCTTCTTTTCTTCTGCTCGTTCCTTATTTAGATCCATTTCAATTTCCAAATCATCATCAAGCTGACTCTCCGTCAGATACTCGCCCAGCTGTTCGACATGATAAAATCGCAACAAAAGATGACGTTCCAAACTCGTTTTGTGCGTAACTACATTCGCCACCAACACCAAAGAAACGGTTCCATGACCGCCCAATGCTTGAAACTCATGCATGGTACTCTTAATGATATGATAATATGTTGGGTGCAACGCCATGAAGGCCTGGTGCACTGCTTGCAGTATCAAATGCTGTTTGGCATCCGGTCGCAAATGAATCATTGTCGTTCGTACTGCATAGGGTTCTGGACCATCCGTGCCTCCTTCCGTGACTGACATGCGTGGCATAGATTCCGTATTCAATCCGACATACATGTTTTGTAATTCGGCGTGGGTGCGAAAGGGTTGGCAATAGTCCTTGACCACATTTTCCAGCTTTGGAAAACTCTTGAATTCGTTTCGAAAATTCGCGTGATTGAAGGGTACAAAGTAGTTGGTCCAATCGCAGTACCAGTACTGATGATCATCTGTATTTTCTGTCTTTAGGTGCAAGTTCCGACAATGGTCTGCGAACAAGTAGGGAGGAGATTCTGGAGCTTCATGCTGTGCTGACTCGGCACAACAAGCTGACACGGCGGAGTCAGCACCTGAAGAGGAGGAGGAATCAGTTGTGGAAAGATACTCTGCTGACGATATTTTCACTGCGTCGCACTGGGCTAGTATCGCCGAAATCCGAGAGCGAGAGTATGTCTCTTGCAAAGGTGAGGACGATGATGATTCCTCAACTCGATGATTCTCTTCTGCGTAGACATCGTCCTCCAATCGTGGGCTCATTTTTTGTTTTTCTTTCTTGTTGAATTTTTAGCTTTACCGAACGCTGCTTCGAATGATATTGCAGTGGAGAAAATAGCTTTGTGGGAGTGGGAGTGGGTTGCTGGTGTCGTGATGAATCCAACGTCTTGGTGGTTCGATAATCGGTGCAAACAAAGAAACATCCATCCGGCATCATCTTCCCGCGTCTCCGAGTTCCGAGTCGTTTTATGGGTCTGCGAGTGAGTCATGCGGGATTGTGAGATTTTGGCCAGTCCAGTCTGTCTGTCCATAGGTACACTACGTGTACATGACTGACTGACTGGACTGACTCACTCCGCAATAATTAACATTTCTACATACGACAAAGTTTAAGTATGAGGTCCCGTGCAATCGTACGAAGCGTGCAGTTGTGCGCGAATTGGGGTGATGGGTGACTGAATATTCAGACAAATAGGTAGATCACCGACTACTGGGATTCATTCAAGGCAATCGTCCATTTCTGCCACATCGTATACCATTCATTCATTCATCATTCGACCAAACATCAAACGAGACAATCGCCATGGCAATGACACAAAGCGATTCACCTTCTTTCTCATCAAAAATAATATATGTCCCAATATGCAACAATTTTGGCTGTTGGTCTTTGATAATACTAGCCGCAATGAGTTGTACTATTGCTGATGGATTTGTATTACCTTCGTCGCGTACCACGAGGCAAATATCGTTGTCGTTTGAACCCTCGGTCACTGAAGCTCGAGGCTCGGATAGAGCAGTATCACTGCTGTCAAAGTCTTCCAGAATCCCACCCAGATTATCTTTTACAACTCAATTACAAGGCGTTCCTACCTGGGTGGAAGTTGGCGTTGGCTTGACAGCTGCCTTTGGGGCATGGTTGTACATTGATGGTGCCGACGATCGCGCACGAAGCTCGATTCGAGAGGAAGAAAACGCTCGTTACGAGGCATACCAGGCAACAAAAGCGCAAAAGGCATATGTTGAGCCCAAGGACTATTGGACCTTGGATGAATTGGCAGAGTACAATGGGTTCCCACATGTCCACAAGAAGACTGACGCCGACGACAACAACGACGAGTATGCTCTGGATTACGAAGGTCCCATTTTGTTAGCTGCTGATGGTTTGGTCTTTAACGTTTGGAAAGGCAGAAACTTCTATGGGCCTGGCGGTGAATACCATATCTTTGCCGGGCGAGATGCGACGCGACTATTGGCCAAAACAATTGTTCGTGAAGAAACGGCAGACGAAGCCTCCAAGCCTCTCAACATTGGGGAAAGGGCATCGTTGGCTGCGTGGATGTTTACGCTGAAGAACAAGTACGACATTGTGGGGAAACTGAAAGACTTTGATCCTTCTTCAACGGCGATGTATTGAATGAAACAGTTGGAGGATACCAGAGTAGCAAAAGACGCAAGCGAAGGCTTCCAGTCTTCGTTGCATCTTCAAGATCAGGCAAGAAACTTCTCTAGCTAGTATATCCCAGGCAACCTCTTAAGCTGGATTTCACCAAGTTGAAATATGGATCATCGATCAAATCTCCACATTCCCTGCAGGAGAGATAGCTGTATTGTTCTGCAACACAATGAGCACTGGCCTATAACTATCAGCTTAGAGCTTCAAGAGCTCTTTCTCGAAGCAGATAATTAATGGCTTCTATGTTTAATGCGTGTGGACGAATATTCGTGTCCGGCTGCCCCCAATCGTCCTTGAAGGGGACCAGAGATATCGTCTGCGCTCGATGAAGAACCAATGGCCAAAGGTTGGCTGGTAGGGCTTCATTCTGGAGTCGTCCTCGACCACATCTATTCACAACAAATGCGAAATCCATCTTGCTGAATCTCCTGGTGCCTCTGTATAAAAATATAGCTCTTTCTAGGCTTGTACTTCTCCAGAGTGCCTCCTTGACAACAGACATGTTGAAAGTCCTCGATAGCACAAATAGATTTCCCTGCAGCACCAAATTTCATTCTTGGTATTTTCCTAGCGAATGCTTTCATGTCGCTCTCGCATATCTTATTGTTACGTAGGCACAAGGTTTGCAGTGAGCGTCCTTCGCCCAACAGCAAATGATCCAAAACAGAAAGATCGAATAGATTGTTTGAAGTCAAATCCAAGGAAACGAGAGATTCGAACATGTTTATGACACGCAAAAGTTGTGGGACGCCAAGGCCTGTCGCCGTATACCCAAGATCCTTAACAGACTACTTCTTGTCCGCTCCGGCATACAATCCATTGTTGGCACGCGTCATATCTCCTTCTATATGAAGTGCTTCCAGAGCGCAGTCGGCACGGCAGACGGCATTGGCTAAGTCATCCACTGACGCACGAATTGCTTTTCCCAGCGGAAGCTTGAAATGGCGTACTTTCATAACTGTAATCGCTGCGCTGAAAAGCCCTGAAAGCAGAGTCGACGCATTCAGCCGAAGATGAAGGTCGCTTAAATGTGAACTGCTTCCTCGGAGTGACTGCAGAAGAATTCGTCCAATTTCATCGTTGTTATCGCCAAAATATATCCATAGCTTAAAGCTTTCAAGAGAGGAGATGCTGCAACTACTTTGAGGAGTAGTCTCGCATTGCGGAGCGAAGCCGTCCGCTCGTTTCTGAGATCCTCGTTGAAGCAGATGTCCAGCCCTTTCAACCCATCCTGCTGCAGAAGACTTGCCGACAAGCAGCCAAAATTTTGATCGCCATAGAGGCAATGCTCGAAGTTTGCCAGCTTTGTATTGTTGCAAACGGGAAGTAACAAGGTCAAATATTCTGGTGACGAATCTTCAACATTGCATATCGAAATCATTTCTACCTTCTTGGAAGCTCGATGCAGCAGTCTAGTAAGTTCTGTACAGCTTTCGGATGGCAGACTATCGTGATCTCCATCGATATTACCGATTACGACTTTTACAACTTCCTTTGGGAGGTCTGCCTTTGGCTCTCTCATACTCATGACCCAATTTCTGTGTCGTACTATCGTTCAGAAACTTCCAATCATCCATCATCATCACCACCAGAGGCCCGTCAAGTTCGGCGGGATCTCGGAGGTAATCAGCAGGATTGAGCCTTTGCATGTTTGAACATATCTTTGGACTGGTTAGCTTGGCCCCTGCTCTTGCGCCGAGGTGTGAGTGACACTCAAGTATATGACGATTGATTGATCATCATAAAACTTTATTTCGCAACTGGTGATATTGATTCGAATAGGTCGGAAATGCTAAAGAAGCTGAATCAATCACATTCGACAATCTATCTCAAATCGAAAGGTTGTCGGAATCGCCAGTACCAGGTACCGGTAGTAAGAGCTCAGCCTCTACACTGCGTGCAATATCGCATTTTTCTTTCTGATTTGTAAGCACAACTTGCATCCTAACAAAATCAAGCAATTCAGTACTAGGACTATGTTGCAAAAGCAAAGGAAACAGGTGGTGTATTGTGGCACTAGAAGATTATAGTTTGGACTTTATTTATCACAGCTGAAGCTGAAAATTTTTCTAGACGTAGCAGTGTCATCATTATGATGATTGTTTGAATCATAATAGATTCGCCTTATGTTTCCAGAATTGTGCCTGAGAAGTCCCGTCGTTCTCTTTTCCCTGTAGACACACCTGCAACACATCATTCGTCTTCCTTCCTCAATTGTTTTCACCATGCATAAGCTTGTTTCAATTAAGATTCATAGGGAGTACTGTAGTGAACAAGCTGTCTCTTGCTGCTCTTTGAAGAAGAAGAAGAAGATACCTTGGCAGTAGGTGTCGCGATGGGTGTGACGACAGCCACTGGCACTGCAGGTGCAATTGTATTCAGACGACGAAGAGCCACTGGCTTGTCAGCAGACGCTGCGGAAGCAATGAGGGCAACGGCGATAAAAGAAAGCTTGTTCATGTTGATTTCGATGGTAGAATTGTACTTGATTGATTCAATTGTGCAAATGTCAATTTTGTGGTGCACGAATGTAAAAAGTTAGCGCAATTTTTCTTCTTCGCGTGCGCAGTCGTGTGAATACGACAATACTCCAACAAAAATTGCAAATCGCTCGTAGTATTTATTTGTCAAGCAAACATTTTATCGAAATTCCACAACCATTATAACTTTCGCCATATCGGTATATAAAACTTTCGCCAAAACCACTGTATAACGGCATCTCTCGACAGCAGTTTTTCTTTGCAGTACAGTATTTTTTTTAAAATACAGAACTACTATATATATTACAAATGGGAGACCGTCACTGCAATTCATGAATGGATCCATTGACACATCGATACTATGCCGGTATTTCCTCCCCATTTGTTGCGCTAGTACTGATCATCCTATGGAGTTGCGGGAGTTTTTATATATTGGCGTGTGCAGGGAGCCGTAGAGGCAAAAGTACCATGGGCAATACTTGGTGGTGAGAAACATTCCAGTGGGGCTAGTGAGAAATACATAGGGGATGAAGAACTCAAATCGACTGATGTTCCTTCCAAAGAGAATGACACGGGCCGCCATTTATTCCCTGGGCCAATTTAACAACAAACAACAACCAGAATGGTTGCCTCCACCATGGTTTGGAGATTTCATCCAACTGAATCTTCACCGCTTGATCGCCAACAACTTCTATGGGAACCTTCTATGGGAACCTTCTATGGGAAAAGACTGCACCAGATGCACTTGCATAAGTGTTTCTAGATCACCATTTATCATTGTATTCATTCTTTTGGTTCTTTTCATTCCCTTGAAATCGCTGCTTTTGTTGCTCCACAGTATCACGGATGGATCCAGAAACACGCTTCAGAAATTCCATGGCATTGTTTTCGCCACCACTTTCACCCGTAGTCCTACCAACTCCTCGAGCCTGTTCTTCCTTGGTGATGATAGCTTGACATTCAGGACAGTAAGGCTGTGACTTATTGTCTTCCGCCATTTCTGAAGCCTTCGTCCCAACCTTTGCACCGGCATGAGCTCCGGCAAATGAACCAGCAATAGCTCCACCAATCATTCCTACTGGACCTAACACGGCCCCAGCCATAACAGAGGCTCCATAAGAGGTACCCAAAGACCCAATCAGACTGCCCGCTCGTGAGAGATTTTTTAGATCAGCGTTGGAACCGATTTGACGGTGGCACCTCGCACAAATTCGAACTCGGCGGGTTTGGGTGACTGTTTCTTCGACAGTGGCATAAGGCATCTTCAGTTGTACCAGTTGCAAAACAATGAAAAGAAATGGTTGGAAGAGGCTTCTTGAGTTGATGAAGAGTGTAAACTTGAAATGAGACGAGAGCGAGATATACCATAATGAAGAACAACCGCCACGATCCAGATTTCAGTCACGAGCTGTTTTGGGTCCCATTTTACCGTTGCAATTTGAAAAAATTAGCCGTTTGTAAAATACCTTCCACAGATTCTCGACCGACCGACGTTTTTGCAAATTAAAACAAAGCGAGGGAGACATCACATCGAAGCCCTATCCCATCCAACGGGCCGTAGATGAGATGGAACATGCACTACTCAGAACAATCAAGGCTTTAGCTAGTCTGCTGATGATAGTTACCATGATCAGTATTATCATTCTAGACACCCTACTTCCTGAACATTCCGAGCCACATTCACTTCATGGAAATCGAATTCTGGAACGGGATTTTACAGCCAACGCCGAACATCCTTTTGAAGTTTCTGTCGTGTCTACCAAGAACCAACAGCATCCCGATCTAGAGACATCCAAACTTTCTACCGTTGAAAACGAAAGCGTGCAAAATGCTGAAGTCGATGAAGGCGATGCGTTCATAATACCACTTGAAACGACGAGTCGCTCTAACCCAAGCGTTCCAACGATAAAAAGTTCGAAGTCATCACTAAATTTCAAGGTTTCTTCAACGTCAATAACACATGGATCAGAGAGCGACAGCAGTAGTAGCGCTGACGTTGATGGGTCCAGTCCATATGTACCTGTACAATTTGACCACCGTTATCACATTACACGGTATCGAAGGTCCAATCCAGACATAGCACAAGTCACACATTACGAGTCGATATACGATCCAATGATAAAGTCATTTCAGCAAACACGGCAGTTCCCACACATTATATGCCAAGGGTCCGGTTTGATTATCGAACAAACCATGGCTCCAGTTGCGCCAACCAACACACCGACGAGGGCACCCGTGGTACAAGTCACGGAAGCACCAGTAGTGGCACCGACCCAAACTCCAGTAGTGATGGTACCAACTGAAGAACTACTATCTCTTTCGACTGTGAAGAGCACCAGAAATACATTTAACAAACGAATGGTATACCAGGGATCCATCAGTGACATCCGCATGTATGGGAAACCAAGACGCATTGTACACCGTCCCGGAGCATTTGGAGGATTGCCGGTGGTGGATCATGCCTTTTCAAGGCCGCCAGTTGGCACTCGATCTCCCACCATTGAGCCTACCAAAGCTCCAACGCCGTACCCGACTCCAAGAGTCTTTCACAAGGTTTGCAGGGATGGCCGAGTGGTGGAGATTGATGGAACTCATTCGCCAACCGTTCTGCCAAGCATGGCGCCTACTTATTCACCAGTGGTTCAACAGCAGACACGGCCACCAGCCTTTGTTGGGTATGTTTGGGGAAATGGTTATGGCCATGGGAATGATGACGATAATCCAAGGTGGTCCTTTACCAAGAATGAAGGCAAGCTATTATTTGATCATCCCAACCTTGAAAAGGCTATCTATCGGGGCGATTTTTCCCAAGTGCGACGACAGTTCAAGCGACGAGTCGATACTATGAGTCCGTGGTAGTTACTAGCATAGGATGCCGTACGACGATGGCGAAGGCAGTATGAGATGAGAGACAAAAATCTTGCTCGAGTGAAAGAAATCATGGATCTTTCACATTCTCAGTTCGCAAAAGTGGATGGACGCAAAAGTATCTTTGGTGCGCAGCTTGGTCGATGATGCGAGGTCCATGGACGAATTGCTAGATTGCCACGACCAGAGAACTATCCTTGTCTACAGCACAGTGGTTGTCATCATTGTCTACCAGGTATCATGGACCCGACGACGATTCATGGAATGAAGGGCATTTTACAAATAATGCGAACACCCACGGAGAATACAGCAGGAACGGCCTATATCCAATTCTCCGACAGAAACACAAAATGAAATCGCTTGCACACAAAAGAAACGAGACATCTAGAAAACACGACAACATAAAACATGACTTTTCGCCGTCTACTGGTTACTCTATGCTGCATCACTTGCCAGTACGCGTACACGCTTCAAGCTTTCGAAGTGCCCATATCCCGCCGTGCGGCCTTGGGTAGTTTTGCAGCGGCGATGACCGTTCCCAATGTTGTCATGGCAAGTCCAGAAACAAAAGATGAAATCAATACTGCTGACTCGAAAGCAACGGCCGAGAAGCAGAGCGCGGCCAAAAAGAAAGCGGAAAAAGAAGCTCGCCGTATGGCCGAAGAGACAAAGAAACGGCTTGCGGTCGGTCGCATTGGAACCATTTAAAGTTCATGTTGGATGGAGCTTGATCCCTAATAGTGTTGGTGCGCTGAATAATGTAGACGCCGCCGATGATATTAATCATAGGTTAAAAATAAGTCGCACGTTCCGAAGTTTGTGAGGTGATCCAATGAAAGCATCAACATTAGATCTCCCGCCATTGAGAGCCCACCAAATCACCGCAACTCCCTATCCAACTCACAGAGTCTAACAAAAGATTTCCAAGGATGGCCAGGGGGGAGATTGATGGAACTCATTCTCCAACCGTTCTGCCATCCATGGCTCCTAATTACTCACCATTTGTTGTCCAACAGCAGACACGGCCACCAGCCTTTGTTGGTTATGTTTGGGGAAATGAGTATGGTCATGGAAATGACAACGATACTTTAAGGCAGGTGGTCCTTCCCCAAGAATAATGAGCGGGCGAGCTATTTTTTGACCATGATCCCAACCTTGAAATATCTATGGGGGCGATTTTGCCGAGATCCAGCATGATACAAGACGAATTATACTCCTCGCCTCGCTTTCCACCGCAGAGAAAGGCTCCTTGTTAAGAGTGGTATTGTCTATCTTGTAACTATGATAGTTGAAGGGGGACAAACACTAGTACTACCTTCTAGTGGCAAGGAATTGCAGCTGCTGCTAATGGAAGATCTTGGAACGATGTTATTGTCATCCACACCATCCATCAGGATTTCGCAATGGATGAATGAACAATACCATCATTTTGGGATACAATAGAAAGTATACTAGTGTAAAATATAGCGTAAGGAATTGAACATTTCTTTGGCCTGCTTGGATGATGAGAATAATGGAATCCAGAGGAGCATGGAATGATTGTCTACTTGGATCGTAAGAATCAATCAATCGAATGAATCCAGAGCATGGAATGATTATGACTGTCACTCACTGGTTGCATTTTCATGTCTCTTCTCATTATTCTCATTAGTGTGCTACCCCCTACCTCTGATCAATATAGTTCTCGCCAGCTTTTGCAAAGTGAGAGAACCAATGAAAACTTCAACATCCGTCATTTGTGGTATCCGATCAGTTTGAAGTGCCACTGAGGTTTCGTACCGGTACTGTAAAGTTCCGAACTTTCAAAGCAGGAGATCCAATGAATTCGTCAGCACCTGATTTGTTAGGGTAATTGGAGGCAAAAGCACTCTACATCCAGAACACACAATACACAATGCGAGCCCCAGTGTCAAAAAAGCGAGCTCGAACATCACGGTAGTTGGTATGTGTATCAAGGCTTTTTTTTTCTCGCTGTGCCATGCTTCTTCAGAGCGTCTACTTAGGAAGAGGATGACGTAAGGCGCTTTTGGCATTCTGCGGTTCCTAAGTAGATGCTTCCAACTAGAGAATATCACCAATAAATCCTCCGAAGGAATAAGTAAGTTCGAGCTTCACTACAATGAAAAGAATCACGTAGGGTTCTGTGGAAGCTGTGAAATTAGCCGCTCAATCCGCCTCTTTTCCACAGAGTTGCATTCATAATTTCCATAACCGCAGCGATAGGGTATCCAACACAAACCCACACTCACTGTCAAGCCTTTTCCAAGATTCTATCCACACACACAATAATGATTGCCTTGTTAACCACTCCCAGCACCAGTGCCACGTCGCCAACTACTACCTGCTCCGTCTTGGAGTTCAGCGCGACTGGGAAGAATACTAGTCCAAAAACTGTAATGGATTTCAACAGTTCGGATTCACCCAAGAAGACTGCCATGGTAGTCATTCCCAAGTATCTACTTCCCAACTTGAGAAATACTTCCCTTACTTCGGCACTGATCCAGGGAACCTCCCTAAACGGGGACGCCACCTTTTCGTGTACCGATGATGATTCTTCGGTAGCGCTCTCCGCCATTTCCACGGATGAGGAAGAATCCACGACTGCTACTACTTTTTCCAAAAGCAGCTTCAGCAGCAGCCGCCGAAGAAGAGCCATCTTTTCTCCTTATTGGAAAAAGAGTGGCGAAGAGCCCGTGGAGATGATCCCCACGGGTGATACCGACGTAACCGCCATTCGTTCGCCGGCTGCTTCGGTACAATCCTGTTTGCCCCACTACGAGCAAATTCGAGAACTCCAAGTGAAACCCTTGCGACCTCGAGTCGTCAAGTCGGATCCCATTCTGGCTCGCCCCATGCCTCCCTCCATTCTCCGCAAGAGCAAATATACAAGAAGGCATACTGTTGGTGCTGTCAAGTTGAACAAGAGTGCTGATTTAGTCGCCACCAGCACGGCCATTGCGGGAGCTCTGGCCGCCATCGATATTGAGATGGAGGCTTCCAACAACCGAGTCCAATTCGATAGCAACGTCGATGTAAGGGTATTCACCAAGGAACGACCCATGCTCGAACCAGCCCAACCAGGATGGTCCAAGATGTTTACCAACTAAAAACGGAGGAACGAACGAACGATTTGTTTCGTTCTTTTTTTTGGTGGGACCTCTATACCATCATCCCCCAAGCGCAAGCAGCAAAACCTGGCTATTATGCCGCTATCCTGCTACATTTCCCCTGCTATCCAAGAAGCACATTACTTCTTTATCTACATGCAATACATATATATATAACATACATAGAAGTATAATAAATAGAATATGAATACGTTATTCATTATAAAATATATATTTCTTGAGTGCAGTCCTAGTTTTGGCTCCTGTACCTAATACTTTTCCGGACTGGCTACTACAGCAGCAACAGAGCCTATTATTCATCCATCCATCCATTCATTCATTCGTTCTATTCCCTTCCTTTTGTACTAATTTTTGTAAGGAGGACAAAAGACTTGCTTTTGCACACTCTTCAACGTTCGCTTGGCCAATTCTTCCGTCGCCAAGGTTTGAATGGTTTCCGCCCCTTCTTGCCATTCCTTGGGTGGAGGGAACTCAAACGAAGACGACGAAGCGGCACCACTTCCTGCAAAGGCACCCACCACACTTGCTGCACCAGGACGAGTGGAAGAGGCAGTAGTGGCACTAGTACTAGAGCTTGTGGTGGCCATGGCCGAACTCGAGCTCATTTTCTTGGCCACTTGGGCAATCGTTTGAACTTGTTCCTTTTGGACGCTGGTTGGCTGTCGCAAGGCAGTCGTCCACAAGTAATTTTGGGTCAACTTTTCCAGGACATATCTTGACGTGGAACTCATGTAATAGTCAATGGACAGTTCGTAGTATCGATTCCAACACGATCCCCAATGCTCCAAACGGATCTGTTCACTGGTCTCCACGGATCCATCGGGACATTGATTGGCCACCGGACTGGAATATTCCGGAGGAAAGGCACGAAAGGCCTTGAGTTGCGGAACACCCAAATGTGCCGATCGGAGTGGATCCAAGACGATGGCCACAAAGGGATTCCCGTGCGGATCTTCGGCACGTTGCCATTGCAATTGCGTCGACAGGTCTGTCTGACTCAAATAACAATGGGAGTGGTCCCCCAATTCAAAGGGATGGGAGTGATACCATCCCATGAACTTTTCCTTGCGAGTTCCTTCGAGACGTTCGGTGAGGGAAATCATGTGATTGACCACATCTTGATCGTCCGCCACGACGCGGGTTTCAAATCCTTCAATGGGGAGGGGAAAGGCATCCGTGACAATCAAATTTTGCGGAGATTCCGGATCGGGACGTCCCAGCAGCAATCCCATGACTTCCGTGGGGTTCCCGCCCTTGGCAATTCCCTTTTCAACTCCACGGGCGCAGTGCATGACCATTTTGCTGAGACTGGAGGGACTCAACGAAACTCGTTGAAAATATTTGGCTTCGTTCATCCAAGGTTTTTCCTTGACAAAGGATTCCATTTTGGATTCGTCAAACGAATAGAAGCGAGCATCATTGGCTTCCGAAGCAGATGCAGCATTAGTAGTAGTAGTAGTAGCAGCAGCATCAGAAACATCCTTCATGGCAATGTCTTTGGTGGCAGAAGAAGCCAAACCAGCAGCAAGAGTTGCGGACATGGTCGTGTATCGCGTAGTTTTGTTTGTTTGTTTGTTAGTGTAAAAGTTGGAATGAATGAATGAATGAATCAATCAATCAACCAAGGAAGGAATCAGCAAGTTCGCTTGTAATCAATACGTGTTGTTTATCTCTGTCAATCGATCAACAAAGGAGCGACGAGTGAACTAATGTAAGATAAGAGTGGATAAGATTGAAAAGGAGACTCGTAGTTGCGGAACAGGGTGGCTTTTTTCGTTTGTTGGCAGAAGGCTCAGTCAGTCGCATGAGTCGATCATCGAACGGAACACTTCGATCGATCGATCAATCGATCGAAAAGAAGCTAAAGTATGCTACGTACTTCTACGTTGAGCTGGTGAAAAATGAATGAATGGAAGAAGTTTTGAATTCGAATACAAGTATATATACGTACACCACACGTATCAGTGTCGACCTCAAACTGAATTGTTGCTTTGAAGATCTATTAATAATAGGAGGGAGACGTCTGAATTCCGCATTACAACAATGGCAATAGAAGATTTGTCAACATTCAAAATGGAAGAAACGGGTGCCTCATATCATCAATCTCCCAATGATACCTCATTATCCGCAACAGCAACAACAACCACAGCAACAACCACAGCAGCAGCACAATCCTCGCCACTACCATCCGAATTAAATGAGAATAATCCACCTTCTCCACCTTCTCCTCCTGCGGATACCGCTACAACAACCTTCAAGATAGAAGATTTCGAGTGCATCTTGTGCTTACGATTACTCTATGAACCTACCACATTGAAATGTGGACATTCGTTCTGTCGGACGTGTGTGGAAGAACTCTATCAACAAAATCATGCCAAATGTCCCACCTGTCGTCAGGTATTGCCCATTGTCCATCACTATTCCTCTGAAAAAATGAGCATTATTGCTCCCAGTTTTACGCTTTGTAAATTTCTGGAAGTGGCCTTTCCATTGCAGTACAAGGAACGCCACAACGAAATTATAGAAATGTATCCTTGTCGAGCAGGAGCAATGGACGCGACTTTTACAAATTCGATGAATGCCACGACTACTACTACCGCCACAACGCCGCTTCCCCTATTCTATTTGGATCCCATGGTCCCTCGACAAGTCATGCAATTGAATATCTTTGAGCATCGTTATTTGCTCTTGATATCCAGATGCTTGGAAGGATCTCGACACTTTGGCATGGTAGGATTCATGTCCCGGCGCATGATTGCAGAACGACGTCGACGACGATTGAGACAAGCCGCCGAGTCTACTGTTGTTGCGAACAACAACAATAATCATACTATTGATCCAGAGGACGATGACGATGATGACGACGAGGCCTTGTCCATGATCTATGGTGTGGAAGTGGAAATTGTCGAAAGTTCACCGCAACCTACTGGTACCATGCACATTCAAGTCAAGGCGAAACGAAGATTCAAGATTGTAGGAGACACATGGAGACAAGATGGATACACCATGTCCAATGTTCAATGGCTTGCTTTGCCAGCAGCCGAATGTACCAATACTACAACAACAACTACTACGAATACAACTGCTACTACAACTAATCCATTATTGGAATCATTGCCGGTAACGCAAGAGGATGCGAATGAAACACAAGATGATGATGGTGGTGATAATGCAGTGCCGGCAGGTGAGATTTCAACTTTCAATGCGGCACTGTCAGAGTCGCAAACTGCTACAGTTTCCCAAGAACCAGCGGCTTTATCGGAAAACGATAGTCGTGACGCCCAAGATGCAGCTGCTCAAGATGACAATGCCCGAGCGATTCAATTGGCACAAGCCCTTGGTCCTCTTGTCGAAGAATGGAAGGCCCTGGTCGTTGCGGAAGGATGGCAACGGTATCATGGACAACTTGCCCAAACAATCAATACAATTGGTCCCATGCCAGAAGCCAACGATATCCGAGGGGCCATTGATCGTGCGTTGTGGGTCACGGCGCTCATCAATCCACTTCCAGGAATGGGCGTGGCTCCCGAAATTCGACCAGAAGTCTTGGAAGCGGCGGCGGCGGCCACTGACAATGTTGTTCCTCTTCTGTTGATTGTCACACATGGAATGCGCAAATCCATAGAGTACTTGACACCGAATGCGGTATTGGTATGGATGCAATATCAATTGCAAAAATTGTACTGCCTGCTCTTGGGCAGAGGCACGCGCCGATTGGGACCACCACCACCCCTTCCAGGAACCCACCAAATGGTGAATGCTCTGTTGAGACTCTTGGTGGTTTGCTTGGTCTTGGGCTTTTTCTGGCAACGCATACTGGCCCCCAAAAGAGCTGTCTTGTCGTCATCGACCGTGTCGTCGTCATTGTCGTCGTCGTCGTCACCAGCAGAGGAGGTGCTTCTTTCGGCAGCGGCAGCAGCGACCGCATCGCCCAATATGGACACGGAAACTGCACCTTTGGAACTATGAAAAAAAATTCAAAATATGGAGTTATTTTAAAAAATTATGTTGCATACTACTAAAACTATTTCATTGCTAGCTATACCTAGGATAATGCAGACTATTTGTATACTTGTCAAGATCTTGCCTGAATGTATTGTATTGTAGATTGTCAAAGTCAGGATGCATTTTAGTCGTACGAGACATTCAAATGATCCATCCAAAACCAAAAACCGACCGAAACTGCGATATCTTATTTTCGTGAAGTTTTTATATAATACCATGGCATCCTGTGTAGCACCATCGCTGAAACAAAGACATGTTATAATCATCTTGATCTTCACCATTACTATTCACAATGTTATTGCATCTACCTCTGAAAATCCCAAGAAGCTTCCCAATTTTGTGGTTGTCTTGACCGATGACCTCGATTTGACATTGGGTGGTGCGGATGCCTCAACCTTGAAGAAGACTCGAAATCTGATCGCGGATCAGGGCATCACCTTGACCAATTGGTTTGCACAAACGCCAGTATGCTGTCCATCACGTGCCGAACTACTCACAGGGCGAATGCTCCACAACATTCGGAAACCATCCATGGATGCCATTGGATGCATGTCGGTCGACGTCCAAGAAGATCTGAATATCCCCTTTTACCAAGAATACTACTTTGCTCGTCACTTTTCGGAAGATCTCAATTATACTGTAGGAATCTTTGGCAAACATTTGAATACCAAAAATCCAAAAGGATGTCCTCGTGGTGTCGATCGATGGTTGATCAATGGAGGTGGTGACTATTTGAATCCTTCCTTTTATTGGGCATCCAAGGGTGTGGAACCAACGACGGTACACTTTGATAATTGCACAGACACTACTGGAATGCCATGCTATAGTACGTCGGTGATTGGCAATGCCACTATCGACTGGATCCGGGAACATTATCACAAGACAAGAAGACGGAGGGGCGGTGATGATAATGATGATAATGATTGTACTCAACAACAACAACAACAACACGAACAACAACAACAAGAACAGCCATTCTTTGCCTTGGTCTCCGTCAAGGCACCTCACCTTCAGGATGGAGATGGTTTTCCAAAGGCCATACCAGCACCATGGTATGAAAATTGCACAATACCCGAGACAATTGCTCCACGGACACCCAACTACAATCACTCGTGTCCCGACCATCATTGGTTGGTACGGAATCAACCACCCTTGACCCAGTTGCAAGGAAAAGAGGTGGACGAACTCTACCAATCACGGCTAAAGACATTACTATCAGTGGACGACTTGGTAGAAGGATTGGTCCAAACCTTGCAAGACTTGGATTTGTTGGAGAATACCTACCTCCTATTTACTTCGGACAATGGCTTTCGATTGGGCCAATTCAGAATGCCCGAAGCCAAGTTCCATCCATACGAAAACGACATTCGACTGCCCATGATGATGAGGGGACCCAACTTACCGAGTGCTACTAGAACTGGCACCACCACCACCACCACGAGTCAGAAGAACTCAATCTTGGGAACCCATGTGGACTTGATGCCCACCTTGTTGGGATTGGCCACACAGACTTGGAACAATTCCATTGTACCGCCGACCATGGATGGTTCCAACCTGGCTGGAGCACTGGTGGTGGACCACAGCACCAGTATCAGAAGCAACAACAACAACAACAAAACCAACAATGCCTCTTTTGGTGTAGAAGAATCATCACCGTCGATGCAAGCAAACCCATCCTCTGCAATTCTTGTGGAATATCCGAGTCTCGGAAATGTAGTACGCTATCAACACTTGATGGATACTTACAATCACACATTTTTGGCACTCCGAATCATCGTTGACAATGATGATGATGATGATGATGATCGACGTTGGAACATTAAGTATATTGAATTCTTTGATTGTCGAGAGGATTGGAACTTGACCGGGCCTGCCTTGGAAGCAGAGTATTACGATTTGGATCAAGATCCCTTTGAGATGCAAAATCTGATTCCCACCATTTCTCTCCCATTTCGAAGAAGACTACATGAGGCAATGATGATGCTGTACAAGTGCAAGGGAGACAGTTGTAGACGAGCATTAGGAAGAGGAGCGTTGGAGCACGTCATGAACGACAATAACAACAACAACAATGATAAGGTGTCCACGTCACAATCATAGCAAATTCATGTACCGAATACAAAATAAAGCACAATCAATTTTGTTTGTTTGTGTGTAACTTTTTCTTTTATTCTTTTCTTTGTTTACAAGCGTCCACCTGATCCAGCAAGAGTTTCCTTTGGTGCTTCAAGAGACTTGCCGACATCTCCGGCAACCTTCTCATCGGCATTGTGCCATTCCATAAGCTCCGTAACATCAAACTTGGGCTTCTTCAAGACCTTGACCTTGCGGATGAAGCAGTCCTTGATGGGGAAGACAGAGGAGGCATCTCGCGCAATGTTGTCTCCGATGGGAGCACTGATCAATTCCTTGACAAGAGACTTGAGGTCTCCCTTGGTTCCAAGCTCAGTCATGATGGTGGTCATCTTTGCGCGGATGGCTCTGATTTGTGCGGACTTGGCGTAGCAAGTAGCCTTGATTTGGTTCTCTTGTGGGCGAGTGAAGGCAATGCAGAAAAGTCGTACAATGTATCCGTCAGTAGTTCTGCAGTCAACATTGGCTTCAATGATAGATTGCTTTTTGCGGATCAAACTGCACAGCTTGTCTCTGGTCATATCCATACCATGAAAATTGGTCAGACAGTTGTATCCTTGAACATCCTCCACACACAACTTAATCTTTCTCCACGAGACGGCCTCGTTCTTGTTGAGGTCTCCCAAGGAAATTTCAACAACACGTCCCTTCAAGTAGTCGGAAGCAATCTTTTGTCCTTGTGTCTTTGTGATCAAAGTCTTTCCACAGTCCTTGACGGCAAAGATGGAAGGAGCAATGAGCTTGTACCATTCCTTCTTCAAGAAAGGGTCGACGGCCTTTTTACGGCTTCCCTTCTTGGATTTCGTAAGTCTCTTATTCTTGCCCTGTGAATTGAAAAACGAAGAGCGAGATAAAAAGTTAGAAACTACGTTTGGATTGAATCATTGTTGTGTTTTCCCAATCGCATAATAGCATCATCATCACCAGCATGACTACAATTATCCCGTCCTATTTCATTCAATCATCATCATCATCCTCAGTCGCAGCATCAATCAAGGAAACTCACGATAGCCATCTTGGTGTTGTTGTCTCGAAATGCTAGAAGATGCAACGACCTTGTCTTTTCCGTGCAGGACGGATATGCAGTCAGACGGTAATCAGTAATGCGGTAAATGGCGGTAACATACGGGTTCGTACTACTGGTCCTACTTACGACGTGACGGACAGAAGTAGTAATCGAAAAGTGGTCCGAAGCCGTCCATTTCAAATCTAAGTCTGTACTTTTTAGATTGCAATCGAAGCAATCAACCCCCCTCCCCTTCGACAACCAACCCGCAATTTGGTCCACATCAACGTGGTATTCCACAACAACAACACCAGCAGCACCAGCAGCAGCAAGATGGCACTGAGACTACTTGGTGCACAACTGCAACGAGGTCTCACTTCGAGAGCTTCTAATAATCTTCAGAGGAGTGCAGTAGAATCTTTCAAGAGACCCGCAATTGGATCCACACTACAGCAATACGAACGGTTCTTTTCGGATGGAAAGGGTGGCGATGATGACACTACACCTCCGCAAACAGAAGAAAGCGCCGTGGTGCAGTCTACTAATGATTACGATATTGACGAAATAGTCTCGTCTTTCCGAGATACCTCTTATTTTGATACAGAGGAACGACCAGATTATTCGAAAATGACCAACGAAGAATTGGAAAACTCCATGACCATTCCTGGTTGGGATTTGATTCACTCTCCTCCCAAGGATCGCATGGTCCCCAAAGGTGCTTTGGTGGGAACAGTGGTTTCGACTAAAATGCAAAAGACTGTCAATGTCGCCGTGGATCGCTATAAAACCCATCCCAAGTACCGCAAACGACTGCGATACACTCGCAAGTTTATGGCACACGATGAAAAGGAAGTGGCCAACGCTGGAGACTTGGTCATGATCGTTCCTTGTCACAAGATTTCCAAGCACAAGCATTTCATGCTACGAGAAATTGTTCGTGCCAAGGGACAACTGTAGTCAATTATTATTTACAATTAAGATTAAAAATACAACTGCAACTACAAATCAGTACTCATTCAAAATACCGGTTGGCGGTGGTAGTCAAGATGGTGAATTCGTCCATCTCCCAATTGCCTAATTAGATTACACGATACAAAATGAACATATCCAATACTGTTTATTTTAACCATTGAATCTTTGCAGTATCGACACTTGTTCCCCAGGTCGGCAATGGAACTTGCAAGTCCAAGTTCGCAATACTACTACTAGGATGATCATCGCCCTGCTGCTTGTCCTTTTTTTTATGTTGCTTGCTGCCCTTGGCAAAGAATGGGATTTGATAGCGATAGGCGTGAAGGCAAATCGCATGGCCACCTTGCAATAGTTGCGATGGTGTAAAGGCAGAAGTAACATCTCGGGCACACGACGAGGTTTCAATCGCGGCTTGCACTTGTGCGGGAGTCAATCCTTCTTCGGCCGCGGTGGTTGCTATTGCAAGACCCTCCTCCTTGGGCTGCTCCTGCAATTTTTCCATTGCTTGTACCACTCGATCGTATCCTTCCATGGTTGTTGTCAATTCATCGTCCAGTCGCTTGCCATCATATTGAATGTCATCCATGATTGGGTATCCGAGCCATTGCAAATGGACTCGCAGTTGGTGACTCCGTCCGGTCAATGGGCAACAAGAAATGATGGAAGTCTTGGATTGCGAATCGTACGAAATCAGTTGAAACAAGCTACTGGATGGCTTGCCCTTGGCTGTAATCTTACGAATCCCATTGGATGGATCCACAGTTTCAATGGGCCCATTCACTTTGATTGTCTTTTCCTCGTTCTTCCATTCCCATTGGGCCAAGTCCGTACAAATAGGACCAGATCCATTCAGTTCTTCCAACGAACTAGGAAATTGACCTTGTACCATGGCCAAATATTGCTTCTTGACGGACCCTTCCTCAATGCGCCCTTGAATCAACCGAGCGATCTTGGCATCGGTGCAGCAAATGGTCAATCCACTCGTCACCCGATCAATGCGGTGGCAGGGAATCAAGGATTTTGGTTCCAAACCTTCTTGGGCTTCCACCATGATGGTCAAGGAGTTTGCCAAATAAGGACCAGCAGGATGGACTGGAACCGTGGATGGCTTGTCGCAGACAATGACGGTAGCGGATGACGATACTTCTTCCAAGAAGGAGTATTCGTCTAGTACATTTTGTGGCAATGCAATCTTTTGAACGTTGATAGTTCCGTTGGGAATGCGGACCGGGGGTTCATTCCAATGAGTGATACGACTAATGACATCCATATTCTTGAGTCGTATCGACTCGGCTTGTTCCAAGCTCGTAATGGGAACATCATTCAGAGCCAGCAGACCCTTTTGCATGATTTCGGCCAAGCGATCATTTTCGGAAAGTTCCGCAAACTCCATTTGCAATACGTAAAGGAGCGCCTTTCCACACCACTTGCCCTTGGTATTGGTCCAAAGTACTCGAGTACAGGGCGGCGGTAGTCGAATTCCATTCTTTACATACGCTGATGCGGGCTGGAACAATCCCAAGGATTGCAATTCGCGAACAAATTTCTGCTTGAGTTGTTCCTTTTGTTCTTGAAGATGGGCATTGTTTCGCCGCTTGGCACTCTTGATGACTTCACCACCATTCGTAGTTCCTGCGGGTTTGTCAGCATGGATCCTTTGATTTTCAGTGAGGACTCGTGTCCGTTTCAAGCTTTGGCTGGAAGATTCCGTGGATATACGACTGCTGTTATTTCCATCACTTCCTTGTAGCTCTTCGATGCGACTGATAATCTTGTTGCATTGTCGCTTCAGTGTTTTGCGCTTTTGTTTGAACTTTCGTCCCACGGCGATTTCCTCTAGCATGAGTTGCAATTCGGCAAGTTGGTCGTGAAGTTGGTCGAACGAGAATTCCGAAAGATTCGAAAAGTAGCAATTCTTCAAATGCTGATGGTTCTTGCAGTGGTATTCGGTATACAAAGGTTGGCAGTTCAGACATATCAGCGTTGGTTCGTTGCAGACGGTGCACACGCATTTCGGATCAAAGGTATCGTAGGGAGCCGCACAATACGTGCAGGAGCCAACCACCTTGTAGGTTGCGTTCGTTCCAATTGGACTGGTTGGCTTTAAAGTGGCAGCACTAGCCTGATCATCACCATCATCACCATCATTATCATCATTGCAAGTGGTGGATGACGAACCAGCCGTTTCCGAAGCCTTGTGGGCTCCACGTCCATCAAAGACAAAATTCTTGCCTTCCCACAAGCAGTCATTGGACTTGCCATATTCATCTAGATACTTGTGAATTCCACCCTTCAAATGGTTGACTTCTTGGACATTGGGAATGGTACGACGAATGTAAGCGGATGCCTTTTCACATCGAATGCCACCTTCGTCGTGTACCAATTAGAGAAAGAAGAAGAAAAAGTCATTAGTTTCGGGGTCAAAAAGCAGTTTCAATATAGCATTAGGAAATGAATCGTACCTGTACAATACATGAGAACTTTCTTATTAGCGAGCGTCTGTGAATGTTTCTTGACCCAAAGCGGGAACTGGTTGAAAGTTGTGGTGTTTGGGTCAAGCGAGTTGGGGAAATGTCCAATCTGAAACTCTTTGGTATTCCGACAATCGATCAAGACCGTATCGTCCTCTTCTTGTTCCTTGTACTTGGCAATTCGTTCATGCCACTCTTTGGGTGTCAAGTATCCTTGATGAACCTCCTCCAAGGGAATGGACGCCAAGACACCACCTGTCCCAATGAGCTCCTTGACGACTTTGATGTTCAGATCGGGAAAGAGATTGCTTTCGTTTTTGCTCGAACTCCACTTGAATTCAGCTGACGTCATGATCAATGGCTCACACTTGGCATTTGCATAAAATTGCTGACACTGCTTCCAAAATGTCTGGACCAAGGATGGGTGTTCCGTCAAAATAGGAGTGCCGGTGGTTTTGTTGTTGGCGGTTGCTGATTCAAAAGGATACTGACACATGGCATGCACAAAAGTTTGGACATTTTCCATACTTCCAGAAAGCGTCCCATTGATACCTTCGGATTGGTGTTCATTGCATCCCACCAAGATTCGTCCTTCCAGTTTCAACTCTTGACACAAGGATTCCAAGGCCGAACGATATTCTTCGACAATCGTACGATCACCAGATAGGGGATGATACTTGTAGAAAAGGATGACCTGATTTTCTTCTTGCGTCATTGTAAAATGGTTCTTGTTGTTCTCCTTCCTTGGTGTCAGATATTGGCAATAGAATATGAATGACAACTTGGTCTTCCATTGCCTCCATCCATTGGTTATTTATTTTATGTTCCATTTGTTTTGATGCGAATGAATCGAATGAATCAATCAATCCGATTTTCGATTGTTTTAATGTTATTGGAGGTTGTTGAATCGAACCAGTCAATGTTCAGACCAGTCCCGAATGTATCTCAGTCGGGTTTAGAAAAGACTATTTGAGCTCTTATGTACTTGTGACGTAAGCGTGTGTCAGCGTTAGTCCGCCGATCGACGAAAGTTGAAAGAGAAGATATGCTTTTTGGTTTCGTTCAACCGGCAGGCTTTTGGTACGAAGGAAAAAAAAAGAGTCTTCAAACCGATCATCCAAATCAACAATTTGACCATGATGAAGCTCGCATCCGTCCTCGCTCTTATCGGCTCTGCGTAAGTCAGCACTCGAGCATCTCCATGGGAATGTAGTTATTGAAGTGGGGTTGTAGTTTGGGGTGTCTATCAATGGATGGATTTAAAACCGATTGAAGTTGGATCCGATGGACATCGAAACTCGGTTGGTTTCGTGCGTAGGAAAGACTATGAATATCCAAAGCTTTAGACTTTGCCTTCGTGGAGGTCGTTTCATGCCAACATAGTATCATAGTCTTTGGGATGTCCATGTTACATGTCCGAGGTTGATGAAGAAGATACCAAAACTGCACCCTAAACCTTCAATGAAGATATCCATACGAGATCTTCGCGAACCCTCGTTTCAATGATGAATGCAATGTCTCATGTACTCTTTGTTTTCTCTCTCCTCTCCATCTTTCGTTTCACACATTTCAGCGCCGCCTTTGCCCCCGCACAACAACAAAAATCTTCCTCTGCTTTGTCGGCATGGGCTGATGAGACCTCTGTTGGAATTACCGCTCCCATGGGATTCTTCGATCCTCTTGGTTTCTCCCGCGGAAAGGGCGACGATGTCATGAACCTTTACCGTGAATCCGAGTTGAAGCACGGACGTGTTGCCATGGCCGCCTGCTTGGGATGGTACTTGGATGCTGCTGGTGTTCACCCCGCCTTCAACTCGGAGCTTTCCAACAACCCCTTGGAAGCTGCCCAACAACTTCCTGCTGTTGGATGGCTCCAATTCGTATTGGGATGCGGTGCCATTGAATGGCTGGCAGAGAAGATCAAGGAACGTCCAGGATACAAGCCAGGTGACATCTTGGGTGCCGCCTACTGGGTCGATGACAGCGATGAAGGCTGGGTTGACTACCAAAACAAGGAAATCAACAATGGAAGACTTGCCATGGTTGCTTTCATGGGAATTTTCGTCCAAGCTTTGTACTTTGACAACTATGGAGACGCCATCCACGGACCCAGCTCTTTCTTGCCATTCAAGTAAGCGCACTTTCATCTGGATATCGGGTGCATCTATCGATATATGCTAGGCTTTTGGGAGTGTAGTAGCTGTAACAGTCATATGTATGATACATTCATATACTGCTGCAACCATCCTCGCTCTTTCTTGTCACTGATACTGCCAATTTATATGTGATATAAGTGTACGCTCTCAACAACTTGTACCACATCAACAGACTATAGAGTACTGGATTTAGAACAATCGATCGTTTCAATCTAATGATTACTATTTTATGTTGATTCATAGCTTCCTTATCATGTTCATCAGTGCCGTAATCGTGTTGGTAGCGGTACCTATATTGAAAGGATTCATTGTTGCCATACTGAGTCAAGTTGATTTGATGCAACTTTTTAGATTGGATTTCAGTGCGGCGAAACAAAGGGTGCCAAGATCAAGTATCCTTTGGTCTCTCACCAAGAAACCAACAACGGCAGAAATACGGTCATTTCTTTAGAAAAGGAGCCAGAAGAAAGATCTGAGACAGCCCGAGGCCATTGCATCACCGCAAAACACTAACACTGAACAGAACAGAACAGAACTTGTGTTCCGTTTTTGGCTTGTTGAGAGTCACAACCTGCGAAGGATCAACTACGCAAAATGGTGCGCATTCTCCGTCTCAACAATTTCGAGGCAAGACGATCTACTATTCTTCTTCCTCAAGAAATTCAATGCTGCCGCGAGTCGCATCTCGGAGTCCCCCTTGAAGGCGATCGAATTCTTCCAAATCACAAGTGATTGAAACTGACAGACTCCCATCAGCACCATACTCGTCTCCACTTGTTACACCACCTGAAACCTTGGATACACAATCATAGATCGATCCGACATAGCCGGCGTCAGAGATTTTTACTCGAAAGGTGGATTTCGGAATGAGAATGTCGACAGGGGCCTCTCTTAGCACCAGACGAGCAGCAGCCCCATAGGTCCGAATGAGTCCACCCGCACCAAGCTTAATGCCGCCTAGAGTAGAGTATAGACAAACAAAACAGGCATTAGATACATAATTCACCAAAATCGTTTGTACAATGACAGCACATGATCACATGATCACATGAATCAATTCACATACCCGAATATCGGACCACCACACATACCACATCCGAGAGTTCTTCACCATTAATCGCATTCAATATGGGTTGCCCTGCTGTCCCAGTGGGTTCCCCGTCGTCTGAACATCGCGCTGATACAGGGTTTACTCCAAAACATGCAGCGTAACACCAATGCCTAGCTTTGGGGTGCAGCGCCTTGACCTCATCAATGTAAGTTTGGGCTTCGCTCCAGTTTTCGACGTGCTTGGCGTGTCCCAGAAAACGGCTCTTCTTAACTTCCATTTCGGTATTGAATGATCCTGATGCCAAAGTTCGTTGAGCGGCCGTTTCGGACATGGATAAGGATGTGGAAGCGGTGGAAATGAATCGATTTGCTGAAGACTGACAGGTACGCATAGCCAATGGATGGTTGAGGTCACATTGTCGAGGGAATGATCGTTGCGCGAGCGACTGGAAGCCAGAAGCAGGAACCGCAAATCTGATGCCTCCAAAAATACAAAACATCATGCTCCTAATTAGCATTTTCAGTCTTCCAATAATGGTGTTGTAGTGTTTGAGATGCGCAACTATGAGACAAAGAGCATCACAGATGATGATGTGATGAGACAAACCAAATGGACAAAATGTGTGAAAAGGGGGTTGATGGATCCTCTGGGGGAAATGAATCCCTACAATCGCAAGCATAGGGCAAGCATAGGGCAAGCATAGGGCAAGCATATAGGGCAAGCATATAGGGCAAGCATATAGGGCAAGTATAGGGCAAGTATTCTTGTGCTAATGTATGCGATAAGATGAGTTCTGCCTTGAACTGCCAACGATGGCTAACACGAGGGCAGACGTTTTATTGCATTGGCTGTTACCAATTTTAAATGGTTGCTCTCTCCATTGGCTGATCAGAAGACTGATTGCCAAAGTGCTGGTACGTGGTACGAAATACTAGTTAATTCATGAAGACCGCATAGCGCAGTACGTAAAGTGGATATCGCTACAATTCTTGAGCATGGGTAGTCGTGTTTGGGGATGGTGCCGTCTGCTTTATTTGTGTTCCAGTTTCCCTCGCAAGCCAGTGTACCATTTCCCCTGAAAATCAAGTTCTCATACTATTTTCTTCAATAGTTAAACACGATGATGTTTCGAACATTGCGTTCGATAATATGCATTCCATATATTTGATTTCTGTTTTCAACTTTCTGCCTGGACTTGATTGCAAAGCTCAGTGGCATGTGAGACTTTGGTCTTGAGGTCGGGAGCTTTGGGGCGGGGCAGCACTTGATTTCCTTCCTGTTCCGAGGACGACAAAGGAAAAGAGGTGAACATCTCCTTCATCATTTTTAGATCATTTGCATTAGACAAAGTGCTTTCAAAGTAGGACTTGGAAGGATTTTTCATCACCTCCGCCATCATTTCTTCAAAAATCTCATTCTGTCTTTCTGGATGCTCAGATATCTTTTGCAAGTATTGAAGTTCGATGGATTCTTCTCCGGACTTTAGCTTCAAGCCGTTGAAGAATTGCATGATTGGAGAGTTCACAATGTCAAAGTTATTGGAGCTCATTGTTGAATTCTTTTTTTCGGCGATGCTGGAGAAACCTACATCAAACAAATAAAATGATCGAATAAAGAATGAGGTGAGCATTTTAACATGGAAAGGGAAAGTTGGAGTCGTTACCGCTCGCTCAGTGATAGCTCTTGGCAATGTTCGCACCTACAGTGTAAGTTGCCTTGTTACTGCACCATTCAAGTTTTGTGGTTCATTTGGTATTTCTTGATCAGATTCTCTGTCCCGGTGAGTGTGAAAGATTGCAAAGATCACACCGCAAGATCCGAATATAAATGTTCATTTGATCAGTCTTATGGGTTCTCGCACCCTTCGTCGCAGGGAAAAGTTTTCAGCTCGTATATGGTGGTGCACGTACTCCCCATCCCTTGATCTTTCACTTTTTTCTATTACACCCATCAAGCTAATGCTGTTGTATGCCATATTTACTTGGTAAACAGAGCAAGAAATATCATTTCTTTGTTGCAAGATTACTGTACAGCCTATATTTTTATATTGCAATTACGCTATTTGATTCCTATATCATATATTACCGTGAACGAATTCCTTGTTGACCGAACTTTGAATACTCGTAGTTAAAAATATCCACTCCTGTCGACCAAAGGTTTCGTTTGCCGCAGACTTCATTTGAGCGTAGACACTTATCCAGCGTTCACTATTTTGGCGCCCATTGATATGGTACCTCTCGAGTTGAAAAGAAAGTAAGTCCAATACCTGACCGAACGCACCCAGCATTGAGATGGCACATGGCCCTTTCATCTTAATCGACACATCTGGCTGCTTATGCACAGACGACGAGATTTGCAGCCAATGCATCACAAATCTAGGGAATCAATACTGTTAGTCGATTCTCCTGATACCTCTCGACGAAAACCGGACAGGGGCGGCGGAAAAGAATCTGGAATACCCCGTTCGGATAAGCTCATTTGACAATCCCTTGTAGCACCAAATTCACTCTGGGTTTTGCTCAGGCGAGGTGACGACAAAACAGCATTTTCCGATCGTGTGGATGTGTGAAAAATGTCTTCAGTTGACACAAAGATGCTATTGCGAGAGGCTCCAACCGCATGGAAGATGTCACTATCTGTCTCGCCGATCTCAGATAATGCCATGACTGTCGGGGATTCCCGATTGATCGCTTCACCCTCTCCTGGAATCAACAAGAATGTCGACCGTCTTCTCTGCGGCCCTAGACTCTCTTCGACATCATTCAGAGCACGATCATCTCGGACCAAAGAAGCTTCAAACCGCAGAGCATTTTCGAAATTGTTGGCGCTCGGACGACGGACCAAGTCTCGGCCCCATGCAAGGTGAAGAAGTTGCTTCAGATTTGGGGACAGTTTTTTCGGAATTTCAGGACGCACTTCCCTCCCGTTCGTGCTCCAGACATTCTCTTGGAAATCTTCTATGCTTTGTTGGTTAGAATAAGGCCGTCGCAACGTAATAAATTCCCATAGCAACAGTCCAAAACTGTAAACATCACAGGTTTCGTTGTACTTTTGTCCCAGAGCAACTTCGGGACTCATATATCGTGGTGTTCCTGCCATAGCTGTGAGTTTGAACGCAGTGTCTGTCCCCTTCAATTCAAAAGGTATTTCCCTTGCCAATCCGAAGTCGAATATTTTGATATCGCCCCTCACGTCAAAGCCTATATTTGTCGGTTTTACGTCTCTATGAATGATGCGATGACTATGAAGATAGGCCACAGCGGACGCTAGGTCTGAAGCAAAGTTCAGTCTCGTCGCCAGCAACTTCTTCCTCTTGGACTTATCCTTTCGTCTTAGAATTCGAACCAAGCCACGATGCTTTTTTTGTTTAGTCCTCCACTTTACTAGACGAACTGCTAGCGTATCATACAGACGATCAAGTATGAGGAAATAATTTTCACTGAACAATTCTTCCATTGAAATCCCTCGTAGCTTGATAATGTTTGGGTGTTGAATCGAACTTAAGAACAGTGTCTCGTTGGCCAAATCCGTCATTCCATGAAGAAATTTATGAACATCTCCGACCGTTGTCTTGGCTAGCCTTTTGATGGCGTATCTAGCATCTCCATTGTTTCGATGACAGTGCCTGGCGATGAAATTCCTGGATTCAATTTCTTCGTTGTCGACGCTGTCATCAAGTCCAGCTGAGTTTTTGACTTCCTTTCCTTCTTCACTTGTCAGTGAGAAACCTTTGACGCTATACACCGTGGCAAATCCGCCATTGCCTAGAATCAAGCCTTCAGCGATTTCCTTTTTGAGGAAGCGAGGAATCTCCGCAACGTTCTCCTGAGCCGCAAATCGGCATTTTGACAGATTTTCCTCGTACAAAGATTTGGCAACCTCTGGAGCGGATTCTTGAAGAGAGGGCAGACTTTCTGAGAACTCGAGAGAGGAAGAAGGAAATTCTCTTGATGTTTTGGTTCTATCAAGGATTGCCAGCATCATTGCTGGTTTTGTGGACTGCTTACGTCTGGAAGATATGCTATCAACCAAATGATTTTCATAGAAGTGATTATGCATGGTGGTACAGCGGAGCGTTTGTCGCTACCGCAGTAGAGTACGTGTAATGCGGTTCACCTGCATAGCCGCGCGTGCAGGTTTGCCGCAGTTTATTTTCATCGCACGAGAAAATTAGCCCTTGCGTTGCAGAGCCCACATAATACTGTACTGTACAATATTCCTGCGATGATCACGTCTGGCAGGACTACCAGCAGTACCAGCACTGTCCATACACACAGACGAGGTTTCCAATGAATCACAAATCTAGGGAGTCAATACTACCCATCGATTGTCCCGATTCCGTTCGACGAAGATAGGTAAGAGGTGATGGAAAAGAAGGAGGGTCCTCCAAACCGACAGACAAGCTCATTTGACAATCCCTTGTAGCAGCAAATTCACTCAGAATTCCACCGCCACTCTGCGTAGGATTCAGATACGGTGACGACAAAACCGTATTTTCGGATGCAACGCATTTTTCGAATATATTCGTTTTTGGTGTACTGTCAGAGCGTTCAGACAAAGTGAATACAACATTATTGTGAGAGGCTCCGACGGCATGGTCTATTCTCTTCGGAATTGCACCGTCGCTCTGAGCATGTTTAAGCGGCGATGACGACATTACAGCACTTTCGGATCGAATGGATGTGTTGAACACTTTCATCGAAGGTGTACTCGTATTTTCGGATTCATCAGAT